TCCTGCTGACGACCAACCAAGTCTGTTACCTGTGGTGTGGGAAGGTGAGACTTCAGATAGCCCAGGGGAGGCAGCTGAGGGGAGCCAAAACTTCTGACACAGGGCTCAAGTCTTCTACCCTCCGCTGAGCCGTGGAGGTATATTCTTGGGCAAGCAGCCGGTGTACCCAGGAGAAGGCCCTGTCTGTGGAAGATTAACAGGAATATGACCCTCCCTTCACAAAAGTAACCCTCCCTTTAGATGTTTATACAGCAGACCCTTTCAGCTGAGCAAACCGCCCCAGGTTTCCTCTCCAGCCAACTGCGGGAAATTAGCTGGGATTAGGGCATATTCTTTTAGCCTATTTAGGTTTCTCCCTTAGAATGAGATGAATTGAGCCTTGGATGCCACTGTCTGCCCTGAATGGCCCTCCACTAGGTTTGGAGTTTTAGTGACCACCTCAGATGTAGTCAGTGAATCTCAGTCCTTCTGCCTGCTCAACCCATTGGAGGATGAAACCCTCAAAGCATTAAAGCAAGTCTAAAACTTTTGAGGTGAACGCTGGGTCAGGCCAGCTCTTCCCCACAGATAAATTTTGCCAGTCTGCCCCTAACTCCACCTCAATCTTCTGTCATGAATGCAGGGCTGCAGCGGAGATGAAAGAGAGATGGCAAAGATGGTTGCCGATGTCGTCTCAAAACGGGACAAGCTGACCATTTTGGAGGGGCAAGAGCCAGCAGAGTTCTGGGAAGCCCTGGGAGGCAAAGCCCCTTATGCCAGTGAAAAGAGGTAATAGTGACCTGGTTGTTCCTCTTGGTATGCAATATTAAGCAATGAATCAAAGCTCTGGAGGGATATGAGGAAGCAATTTGATATCGTGTCCTCACCCCAGAGCACACTACGTCAGAGTATCCCCAAAATCTTGGTCTGCACAAGCCCTACTGGAAACCCCATTAAGATATCTCTTGTCCAGGTTTTGGGTAAGACTTTCCGTGAAGTAGGAGCTCCAGATCCAAATCCAGTAAACAAAGGTCCCTAAACTGTTCTCTCCCCACAGTAAATCTATGCAGTGTCTGTCTTAAGACATGACTGTCCTAGGGCTACATAAACTGCATATTCCATTTCCATCCATTACTAGCCTGATTGGCAGTCCCAGGAGGTTCTAAATTTACTGTCAAGCAACCTGGATTCCTTCAGGCTTTTGAGCGGGTGAAAAGTTCCTTTGCAACCTAGTGGTCTCACGTGGCTTTCACCTGAGAGTAGGCTCGTCTCCATGAGTAGGGAAGGGTTGCGCTTTTGCCTTCTTTGGGTAGAGAAGGGGTTACTTTAAATACTGTTAAAATCGTCCAAGAATTCCTTGAGAACTGACTTTACCAACTTTCAGGCCTGATGATGTTCCCACCTCATCCATCACAATCATAACTAGTCGTTGCTGGGCCAGCAGTAAACCACAATGGAAAGGTTTTCATTTCTCTTGCTTTTTCTTTCCCTGCCACGTGTGAGGTAGGTTTCAAGAGCGGAACGCCCACTACCAGCCTCGCCTCTTCGAGTGCTCCAACCAGACAGGACGGTTCATCATGACAGAGGTGGTAGGTTTCTGCCAGGAGGACTTGGACGAAGATGACGTCATGCTGCTAGACACTTGGGAAGAGGTCAGCATAGATTCCTCCTCCCCTTTCCCCAGACATGTTTTCAAACCAGATCTGGTTTAATTCATTTTATAATTCAGCATTCAACATGAAATTGAGGGCAATGCCTTCTGTCCCATCCCCAAACCCTTCCCAATGCCCCTCCTGGTAGAGGGGCTTATGCCTAACTCTTTTCATCCAGTTACAAAACACTTCAATGAGGCAGTATTGTTAGCCCTGTTTCACAAGAGGGGAAACCGAGGCACGGAGAGCAAAGGTATGAGCTCTTTTGCCAGCAGGGTGGCACCCAGAAACCCTCACCCTCAATTCCTAGCACCAGTGATGAGAACTTGCTTTAGCCTGTTGGAAGCATACTCCAGCTGGTTTGCTCAGAGGATACTTGAGTTTTTGATCACACAAGGACTAGGTTTAATTACCTTGAAATATGTGAGAGCTGTTTCCTGAAACATTCATGCTGTGGGGCTGTCTCAAAAGCAAAATCCTTCTTGGTTTGCAGCAAATCTAGAATCAAAATCCCAGGACGTTATTTGGCAACAACAATTCCAGTCTTATCTCTGCTTCAACAGGCAGGGGAGAGCAAATAAATGTGTCTCCAAGGTTCTAACTGCTCGCTGATCTTCATTGCAGATCTTCATTGCCTTCTCTCATTGCAGATTTTCCTTTGGGTTGGCAAAGCCTCCAATACATATGAGAGAAATGAAGCAATTGCCTCAGCGAGGGAGTATCTCAAGACCCATCCAGCAGGGAGAGATCTGGCAACTCCAATAATACTGGTGAAGCAGGGCTATGAACCCCTCAACTTCACAGGATGGTTCAATGCTTGGGACCCCTACAAATGGAGCGTAAGTAACTGAGAAAACACTGTGGTGTGCATGTGTGCCCGGCAGTGCTTAAAGAGTGTCACTGTCCATATCCGCTACGATACCTGAAGCAAAACTTCACCATGATATCTCTTGAGCTTCGTGTCTTCCTGACGCAGGGCGACCTGACCAGCTTTTGCTCCTTCTCCAGCAAAAAGTACCTATTTGGTGAAACTGAGAATGGAAGTAAATGTGCTTTAATTCACAATATTCATATCTTCCTTTTAAAAATATCAGGTCCCAAATCAGATGGTTTGGCCTTGCAGCCAAAAAAATAAATTTGGGGGCTGCTAATAGCAAAATCAAGTTCAGAATCCCAGCGGAAGCACCCCAGATCACAAAGAGAATTTAAAAATGTTCATTTTCAAAATAATGATGTCACAGAGAAAAAATCCTGACCCAGCTTTAAGGGCAAACTCCCAGGAAATGAAAGATGAGAACAGATAGGTCTTGTTTCCAGGTTCACAGACTGTCCATCAGAGCCCTGGCACTGAAGGCCCTGAAAAAGGTCACTTTCGATCCCTACATACAACCCATCTTCTCAAAATCTAATTTACAAACACCAGCTGTACAGAAAGGGGAACCTGCCCCAGGAGTTGCCTGAGATATACAGAAGTCTTGCCCCCCACCCCGTTTAAAACACACAGACTTGAAAGTACTTCGGTAGTTTAAAGTGGAGCAAAGATTTGCTCACACAGCTGGTGCGTGGGGACCTGCCGAGTGCTGTCAGTGCCGCTCCACAACTTGGGCTGTGCATAGCAGGGTTGGACCAAAGAAGGAGTAATGCACTAACCCTGTGCAGACCCCATACCAACCGGACCAGCCAGCCTGTGCGCTGGGTGCTGCAGCACAGAGTATACTGGGAATATAGGACAACCCTGGAGAGGCTTTACTGGTTTATCTACCCAAAGTATTGGGCCTGATTTCAGTTCGAAGTAAACAATGAGGTGGGAGCAAGGCTGCCAGCCTGGACTGATACGTCTGCCACCGGATGGCACTGGTGTGCATGACATAGAAATCAAAAAGCTGCTTGATGATGGAGAGTTGGGAAAAGCTCAGCTCCCAGGTGGTGTTTCCCCAGAGCAGGCTTAGTCAGCGCAGTGCAGGGTCCCTGGAGCTTTACTCAGCAGGCTGTCACTGATCACCCCTTCTCTATCCCGTTTTTTTCTACGAACATTGGTGTTCATCTGATTCACAAGCACTCCTGTTTTCTGGTTGCCTGAAGGGCTGCAGGTGAAGTCCCATGCTGGAGCCTGCAGGTGGGACAGACAAGCAGCAGGGGTGAAGGTCTCTGGGGGGCTTCACACTGCAGGAAATCTCATGCAGAGCTATTTTTTCCTGTAGCTGAATTTGCATCCTCTTTCTTTGCAGCTGGCGTAGTGGTAGAAAGTCTGTCTTAACAGCAGGTTTTGAACGGATGAGACAGTAACTCCCGGAGAACTGAACCTTAAAACAATGCTGATGCTTGAAACAAAGGTCATAAACTTGGGAGTTTTTGAGAAACCACCAAAAAAACAAGTATACAGCTCAAAAAAATGCATGCCCCTGAAAAATATCCCCTGTAGGCAGCTTCAGCAACTACAGACATGCAATTCAAACTGTTAACGTCCCAGGAACATCTGGTGTGTGTGTTCATTGCTCAGTTTTGGGTTTCAATCTGTTTGCTCTGCAACCCGTGTGTTTATGTTGTTTGTTCTTTTTGGGGAACTTTTGTAGATCGCCCTGATAAGAACTGACATCTCCTGGCTGTTCAGGAAAACACAGTCATCAGCTTTGCCAAAATATCCAATACATTCCTTTTTAGGAAATAAGGGGTATCCGGTACTACATGGCACAAATTATATCAAGCATGGGACTGAGGCTTGGACTTTGAAAAATCAGTAGCTTTAGCTAAATTAAACAGGGGAGGAAAAGACAGGAAAAAAGCTTGTCCTAAACTTTCATGCTTTGCAAGATCCGTTTAAAACTTAGAAGATTCAAATTCAGTGGTAAATAAGGTTTCTCTTGGTTTGCTTCCTGCTCTGTTGAGTCTTTACGTTTTCTGTTTTCACCTTGTATTGTACAACTGCAGAGGCTGAAATGTGTTTGTTTCTTTATTTTCAAATGAAAGCTCATATTCTGGCAGAATCTCCTGATTCCAGGAGTTGGGGATTAAAGGAAACACAAGCTGCCACCATTATTGCCATCCCTGTGGGTTTAAAATTTACATGATCTCTCAAGCCCTTTGGAGAACAGGAGCATGTGGTTATTAGAGGTGGCCTTTGCTTCTCATGGCTCTCTTTACCTTTAGGATGGCAAGTCCTACGAGGAGATGAAGAACAGCTTAGGAGATGTGTCGGCTATATCTGAGATCACAGTGGTGAGTGGGTCCTAGACCCTGTGGGTGAGAAACATCAGGGTATTAATACCGCTGTGCTCCCCAGCCTGGTCACATGAAGGAGAGGGCATGACGATCAGAGCAGGCATGAGGACCTCAGGCTCTCAGGATCAGAGATGTGCTCCTCCATGAAAAGCAGAAGGAGATGTCATTAATAGTCCATAAACATACCCAAATCTCTTCCAGTCCTATAAAGAGGTATCTGTGGGCAGGAGCCTGGACAGCTGATTTCTAAACTACACATGCAACTAAAAGTGTGAGTGGGGATCTTTGTATGAGCAGTTTGCAGAGCTGTGATCCCTGAGACCCTGGACTCTGGCAATGGGCACACAGATGCCACAGGCCAGGGAGGGCACGGCCCAATGGGAGATCCCACAAAGCATGGCTAGCACAAGGTCCCAGCAGTCCTAAACGTGACTGCCGCAAAGGATCAATTCTGCCCTGGATGGGATCCAAAGGAAGGCTGGAAGGAAGTGGCAGGGGCTTTGAACCAGGAGAGGGAGCAGTTCAGCAAGCGGTACACAGATAATCCTGAACCGAGGTAGATATCTAGCCTTACCCTTTCTGCTCCCACGTGAGCCTTCCCCTACTGTTATCCTGAGAAAAACTAGGCTATTGTAAGTTCCCCTGCTTAATTCTAGTGGGTACAATCAATGCTGTGGTTTTAGCAATCTTAACACCATAACATAAGCTTGGATGGTTATACATATTTTCCTTTACTTGGCAGGATCTTAACAACATCAGCCTGAACAAGAGAAACATCAGTGTGATCAACTCAACTGTTTCAAATACAAAAAGACCTTCCTCTGAGTACAAGTCACACTTCAACCACAGTGACAGCAACAGCTACAGTAATAGCAGCAACTACAACAACAGCAGCCATTCCCCAGTGCCCAACAGTGAAGGAATTTACTCTCGAGAGGTGCTGATTAATAAGACGGTGGATGAACTTCCAGAAGGCGTGGATCCTGCTAAAAAAGAGGTGATGGCATCGCTGGTTTAATGTCTTTTACCTTAACTTGGTACTTAGTGTTAGCTTAAGTGCACTAGCACTTTAAGCTATTGAGTCCTACGTCAGAGGACTGGAAATTGTAGTAGTTTCACCCTTATTTTGACTCCATATTGGAGCAAATATTTTAAGTACTGATGGTTTTCAGGGAAGAAAAATGAAGTTTAAATAGCTAATTTTAAAAATATTTTATTTTGGTACAGTTCATTATGCCACTTGACCTCCATCCTTGTGGGGATAGAGACTCAAAACTACACATCCTGCAAGACACAATGACACAGTGACTGAGGGCAGCTGAGAGTGAAACCAAGAGTTTCATTCTGGCTAGACTGCAGATTTCTATTTTCGTTCAAAACTCCTTCCAGAAAGATTCTCTTTTTTTGTCAGAAAGCTTAAATTTCAGCAAGGCCCATTTGTAAGGACAAGGAGAATTGCCACATTTCAGATTTCTGCTCAGCCCACAGATTTTGCCAACGTCTGTAGCTGAGTCCCAGTAACCACGTGGGAGGGGCGCAGTGGCTGATTCCCTTTACTCTCTTCAACTCTCGATTGACCCGTTTCTTGTACCAACAGATCTCCTGGCAAATGCCAAGGTCTGTAGCCACACATGATCTACAGTCGGACCAACAGCTCCATGTTGCGGTAGTGCTAGCTCCCCTCATATACTAATGATGTTACTTCACCTGGTCTGTACATGAGTGCTTTCTTTTACTCAAAATGGCAGTGAAGACCCAATTTCCACTTCCCACAGAGTCTTTCCGGGTAACACTGATAAACCAGCTATCTATAAAACATTCTGGCTTTCCGGCAAAAGAAGAGAGCATTTCCAGCCAGAATGCCATTGGGAGACTTGTGTGAGAGGGAAATGCTTTCACTGTGAGTTGCTGCTTGAGAAACCAGCCAGTATTTTGACTGGCAGAACTCCTCTGAAGTAACATTAACTGTCTTGGCCTCGGCGTGACTAGTGGAGCAGAATTCCAGCCAGAGCACACTAACCCCGAAACAATGGTGTCTCTTTGGGCTGTTGGGCTTGTACCTGCTCTGAGCTTTGGGAAGCAGGATGAGGAACAGTTTCTGGGATGTTCGACTTTCCCACTGTGAGGACTGGCAGCAAGACAGGAGATGTTTGCCTGAAGCCAGGGGCCAGCACTGGCATGATGAGGTATGGATGCTGCCTAGAGAGGCATCCTAGCCTCTACAAAAGCCAAAACTGACTGTCTCCTTACTCTCTCTCCCCATTGCAGTACTATCTCTCTGACACTGATTTCCACGATATCTTTGGGAAGTCCAAGGATGAGTTCTACCAGATGCCCAAATGGAAGCAACAGAACGAGAAGAAGCAATATGGACTCTTCTGAGACAACAGGGGCCACCTGGCATCTAATGACTCTGGGACCAACCTTGATCTCTTAGGAGCTGCGGGAAAGAAATGCAGGCATTTGTCAATGAACCCAACCTCTTCTCAATCAGGCCAAGCCCCAATGCAGTTATTCCAGCAGCCACTGTTCAAGGGAAAGCTCCTTTCTCCTTGCAAACCCCAAAACCAAACAGGCAAAATTTTTTGCAGGAGTGACTTTGCAGGACATTCTTGCCTCTTTTGAGCATTTTACTGCTGGTAGTCACAAAGATAAGTGTGTGTCACACAATCATATTGTAGCCTGTCCTCTCCTCTCCCCCTTGCAAATTGCTACTTGCACAAGGTCAGGGCCTTCCTGAAATGTAACTTAGGAAATGTAGGAAACTAGAAATTTAAAATTGGGCAGGACCAGTGCTACTTGCAGCTGATGTGCTGGCTGGGGAGAGGAGGGGAAAGCACTACAGGGATGGGGGTGGGTGTTGAGGTCAGGAAAAGATACTGGAGTAGCCAGGTGCGTGATGGGATAGCCCGTGGAGTGAGACTGGCCAGTTGAACCCCTTCTTACCCTGCAAAAGAGCTATTCACTACAGAAAATCAGTTGCAGATTAATGTGCACAACCTGATGCAGGAAAAATGAATGAGAAGCTGGCTTGTAAAAAAATACATATTTAGAATGTATTTATTAGCTGATTTATTTCAAGAGGCTGATGAGCTTTAGGGCTAGATGCAGTATTCTGAATGTCAGACAAGACCCTGATCTTTTTTTCTTCCATTGAGATGGCATCTCTGTTCTCACTTGGCCTCTCTGACCACAACCAGGTGCAGGTGGGCAGCAGAGTCCTCCTACCCACAGACTAGAGGCCTGGAGAAGCCAGAAGGTTTTGGGGGATGACCAGAGGCAGAATTTGTCCCACTGCAGCTTTTGTCATGGGGCTCCATCCCTGTGATCTCTGCGGGGCTGTGAGGGCACGTTTCACAGCGTGAGCTCAACCTGATCAGGGGGCAGGGGGTAATAGTAGCGATCAGTGTTTAAGGGATGCAACTGTAAACAAAAGGAAGGAACACATGTGTTTGAAAAAACCCAAAAGATTCAGGTTTGCAGCTTTATTCAATTTCAGCCTGATCAATGATTTCAAATAAACAGCCAACAGCAACATGATAACTGTCCTTTATCAGCAGATGGGGTAGGATGGCGGTGGAGAAAAGCTCTGCAGGGCCACAGCTTCTTCAAACAGCTGAACATTATTGGGATTTTGGATGTTTTAAAAAGAAATGGATAAACTCAGGAGGTGAAGGCCCCTCTGTCTCCAACCACCATATAGCAGGGGCCTTGGCATGGTTTCTCTCCCTGTGCTGGTGCACCTTGCTCCTGAAGGACCCTGTTTGCTGTATAATGGGGGTACTTGGATGCCCTTCCTTCCCCCCGCAGCAGTTGGCCTGTCCAACCCTGCTACAGGGATGCAGTGTTTGTATGCTTAGGAGTTACAGATGACTGTTGACCTAGGAGCAAAGTGCTCTCACGCAATACCCAGGACCGGTAACAGTGCAGTAACAGTGGAGTGTCACCAGCTGGCTGGCTTGGAGGTAAGGACCTCCAGGGGACAAGGTCTTCTGGAGAAACAGTTGCATTTAAAAACGGGGGGCTACTTTACGCAGACCACGATGACTTTATTACCTCCGTGCTCCCTGGCAGCTGTTTTGGCCCATTTATGCTTGAGGACCCGGCACAAAATCCATTGCAAACCCCGTGCAGAGTAAGGTAAGAATCAAGCAGAGACACAAATCAGCCAAATTATCTGCATGCTTGCTCCTGTTGTGTTCACACCGGATACAATCAGCACACATTATCCCTGTTTCAGCCAGCATTGCCACGGCTGGAAGCAGCAATCCACATACAATATTTATATCGCCCTGCTGTGGCATGCTCCTGCCAGCTCCCAAATTAATGAATTGCATGTGCTACTTGATAAAATTCAGTGATTCCACCTATAAACCCTGACTGTAGGCCTAAAGAGTGTCATGCAATCAAATGAAGAGAGGCGGAAATGCAGTCGAGTTAGGAAGATTAGGCTGGTTTGCAACGTTTTGCTTTCATCCCTGCTGCCATGATGCTCACCAACAAATATGTGCTGAGTGCTCCTGCCAAGACGCAGAAACGAGCGTGGGATTTTACAAATAATAGATTGCTGTGATATCTGGGCCTGCTGGAAGCTGCTCTCCTCTCCTCATGGGGAGAGCTAGTTTTTCTATCTGCCTCTGATTTATAAAGCAAATGGCAGTTTCTCACCTACATCCTCCTTTTCATACCACCTGCTATTTTGCACCGCGGTGTCTGCAGGGCCATGTCCCATTTCTGCTGCTACCCTGGTGTCTCTTCACTGGAGCTCTTCCCTAAAGGGGGGGGGGGGGGAGACTCAGCACTTCCTAATTTGCTCAGAGATTAGGTCTCTTGGCGCCAATGTGGACCGTGTTTCTTTGGGGAGAGAGGAGACCTTGTGGTTGTGTTGCCCCCTCATGCTCTGGTCCATCCCACCTCAGTCACAGCTACTTCCTCACATGGCTCCAGTTGTTTTCCCCCAACTCTGTGTGTCTGATGAGGGGTGTTCTCTCTTCCCACAAATCTTGCCTGCCTATATTTAAACACACAACAGGCAGAGGAAACCTTGGCTTCTCCACGTAGTCCATCTAAGACCACCCTGAGCCTGGGTAGTGAGGTCCTGCCCTTGGCCACACCTATCCCCCACCTCTCAATCCCCTACTCTTCCACCTTTCTAGAGCTTGACCATGCTGGTGGGGGTCAGTTAAGCTCACTGATCCAAATGGAATCTGATCTATCCAAATAATCTGTTTCCAGCCAACTCAGCCCCGCTGATCTGAATCATCCCACAAGACCCAGCGCCGGCATGAGAAAGGGGGCAGAAATGCCACTAATCATGCCTGTGCTCAGGTGGCCTGATTCAAGCTCCCTGCAAGGTACAGAAAAGTCCTGGGTATCCTTTATGCATGCTTTTTATCCAGTGGTTCTTTAAAATGAGATGCACAGAGCATCCTGGGAACAGAGACTGAACTCAGGCTGTTCTCTTCCAACTGGTGTGCCCCGCATCGGCCTACAGAGACATTATGTGCCATTATGTGCCCTCAGGCACGTGTGCTCTCAGGTCACTGAATGGGCCCCAGCAGGAGGTGACCGCCTACATGCCCTGCTGTAATTTGTCAAAAACGGCCCTTCCCTTTAGAGCTGGGAGCAGTGGTCTTATCTCTGGCTAAGCCTCTCCCTTCCTGGACAAGGGCTATAACCATTAGGCTATGGTAAAGAAGATAAGGGTTGCAGTTAGGAAATCTCCCTGGACTCAGCAGGATGCCCAATTTCTGCATCTCATTGGGCTTTGATGGGAGGTAGGACGTGATTATATGACCTGGGGCTGAGTGCAGAAACAATCTGTGGGCATTTAGGGGGCATCATCACCCAGCTCCAGTACCCAGAGTAACAGGCTTTGGTTAAAACTCAGTTTTGTAGTTAAGCGGAGCAGAGACACATTTCAGCCCTCCCCTGAAAGACTTCCCCTGGGGAGTGGGGCATTAGCACTCATCACACTTGCTGTAAAAAAAAAAAAAAAAATCACATCGTTCCCAGAGGCCAGCTGTGCCTCAGCCACACAGTAATGCTGCAAAACCCAGGGAGGGAGCAAGACCGAACCTAAGGCGCTGCAAGCAGGAGCACCAACAGATGGGACCTTCATAGCAATATGACAATGCATGCAACAGTATGATAATGCATGTGAGATATGACAATTGGGTGACAATATGTCACTGCATGTGTCAAGAATGACCCACTCTTGGCTTTTGATTGTGTCTCATGACACAACCTGCCCCATCTTAGAGGTGAGCTGAGAGACAGCCCACGTCACTGCAGGACATCTGTTTCCGCCTTGGTAATGTCTGCAGCTCTTGAGCTCTTTTAACCATTGGTAATTAATTCAGTTTGAGCCTTTGAGGTGTGGATATAATTCACATTTAATCTGGCAATGGTTTACAACATCACACAGCATTATAGTGAGGAGGAAAAGTCAATGTGTCCAGCAGTGATTACTGCAGCATGACAGACTCTGGGTTGGACTAAATGAAGTCCAGTTTACAGTGTGCCCAAGGGTTATTAAATCCAGGCTATTTTGGACTAGGGAAAAGCTAGAGGAGGGAGCGGACTGGAATTTATTCAAAAGGAAATTAACCTCTTTGGAAGCAGCATGCCAGTCCTCTCTACTACTAAGCATGACAAACCCCAGGAAGACTGATTAGCTTTAGAGAAATTAAGCAGGTCTATCTCCAAATTCATCTGTGTTGCATTCAAGTAAGCCAAAGAGGCAAGTAGTGACAAATCACTGGACTTTTTCAATTTTTTTCTATTTTTAATAGTCTCACATATTGTTAGTAACACAGCTGGCACTTCAAAAATATATTATTTTATTTCAACAATATTCTCTTAACTCTGTAGTTGCACTTGGAAAAAAAAAAGACCTTTTCCCATGAATACTGGGTTACTGTTCAAAACACTCCTGTCTGCTTGTGCTAAGTTACCCCTATAGTGCAATTGGGACCAGGCTAACATTTAAAATGTTTTCTATTGCCACTTCCTCTGTGGTTAAAAAAAGACTTTTTTCTTCTACAAAAACAAAAACAACAAAGATTTACAGCATTAAAAAAAAGCCCTACTGTCAGTTCAGTGTATTTCCACTGTCATCTGCAAAAGACATTCTCTGAGGCCCCTTTCAGCGGGTTTCACTTTGGATTAGAGGGAAATCTGCCATTCAGTGGCTTCTTTCTCCTTCACAGACTCGGAGCCAGGCTTTGAATGTGCAGTGACCTGGCTGAGAGCCAGGCACACAGGCAGAGTAGTGTTCATATATTTTTTATTATAATACAAAAGGAAAGTCAAGTTGTATAACATGGGCCTGTGTAGTGCAGCTTTCTTTTTTAATCTATAACAGATAAGTGGAAAATTTTTGTCCCTGTTTGGGACTTCATACGGTAAAGAATGGCTAACATCTGAAGTAGTGTGAAGCGAACTGGTATCTGACCACTGCGTTTCAGTGGTAGGGTGTGTTGTTTTGCACAAGTGTTGGGTGTTTTGTCCAGATGCCTACCCAAAACCAACCCAAGAGCTGTAAATTGCTAAAATGAAATCCCTATGTTCTCACTAAAAGCAGAACTAAAAATCTCATGAATTAAAGTGAACTAAAAACATGCCTGGATTGGTCAAACAGGTACAAAATTATTAATCTCAATAACCCCATTAGGATGTTTCCAGCACACAGAAGGGAGAGGTTTGATGGCTATTTCACACCACGGGCCCTATGGGGCACCATGTGCTGCTCTGGAGAAGGCACTGGGGATTTGACAGGACCCTGGTGTAGGCAGGTGTCGCACGAGATGTCGCACGCTGAGGTCCTCCTAGGTCTGTAACAGGATTCACTGTACCTAGAAAGAGTTGAGCCACTAATCACAGTCCTGGATATCAATGTACACAAAGAGGGTGGAGGAGGAGTACGGGTCCCCGTTCTTGGTTAGAAGATGGATGTGGCGGTAACCTGGAAGGAGAGAGACAGATGGAAAGCAGCCTTTAGCCCTGTCGGGAAAGTGTTTGCTAACATTTGCCACGGCCCTGCAACAACTTTTCCCGTTTCTGCAGCTGCTGCTGCTGCCCCTGAGCGTTTTGCTCCCAGTGCCTCACAGAAAAGGTCGGTCAGACAGTCATAGCTTCAGGCACCGAGAACGTAACATTCCCAACACCACCAGCAACGGGGGACTCCCTTCCCTCGTTAGCTGCCGCTTCCCCAGAGACAGTGCTCATTAGCTGCTCAATAAGTCATTTATCATCTTGTCCGGGCCCCAGAGAGAGAGTCTCTTGAGATCTGCAGTGCAATGAGCTCTGAATGACTCATCTAGGACACTAGAACTTTTCGAAGGGCTCAAGGTGTGCAAGGAACTGGGAGCAGGGCCTTACCTTGCTTCAGACTAGTGAAAGGGAGGGTATACTGCCCAATGAAGTCATTCTTGGTTGACATGTCAAAGTCTTCCACCACAAACCGGATTAGGGCAAGCTCAGGGATCTCTATGTCAAACGTAAACTCTTCGTCCCACTTCGGGTTAAAGCCTGAGCAACATAGACAAGAATGGAGATCAGAGCTGGTCACAGACATGGATGAAGGTCAGAGATGCTTGCAAACAAGGATGGAAGTCAGAGATACTTTCAAACTGATGTAGCGTCTGCTTGACTGCCAACTTAACCTGACCCATGCCAAAGGTCATGGAGGGGGTGCTGAGACCCTTGTTCTCAGCTCTGGCACTGATTTGCCACCTGGCCTTAATAACTCTTTCAGCTTAGGCTGCAGCACATCCTAACTGCAGCAGACAAATCCTACACTCACTGTTGGACCTCAGCACTCGGTCTCACCAGCTGATACACAAGGTATCAGGCTACACAAGCAGCCATCAGACCAGCAACAAATTTTTACAGCCTCAGACCAGGGAAGAACAGAGGGGAGAGCTGTGCCTTTACACTGTGCTGGCTTTCTGGGATTTGCAAGTTTATGCCTCATTGACTGCTTGAGGTACACCACCGATCCATCACCACTCTGTTCCTCAGTTCCCCTGTCTGCAAAAGGATTAATGAGGAGTGTCTATCTGTGAAAAACAGCATCGCATCTGCTGATAAGATGCTTTACGTCTCCCCATATAAGGGCAGTGTCTGAGAGAGCCAGCCTAACCCCATCTCTGCTACGGATAAGGAACTTGCGATCCAGCCTTACAAAGCAAACAAAGCCAAGACTGTCATATCAGATGAGAGGTAAAGTGAAAGTGCCGTGTGCTCTCTCTCCAGTTCATGGTGCGTGCTTTCTGTAGTTTCAATAAACCACTGCCCAGAAACAAACAGGAGGTGAGGACATCCTGTTCGACACCCTGCTGCCATTGGCATAGCCTGTCTGGAGTGACAGCCCGAAGACATTAAAATATCAGGCCAAGCCTGCTGGCCACGGAGGGTCTGCTGACGATTTGACAGGTGGCAGGTTCTTTCAGATCACTCAGAGGTGCTAAGATGGGTGCATGGGAACACCAGCTCTGGGCTGGCACATTTTATTCTGCCATTCACAGCATTATATCACCTGGACTATGCAGATAACACACATCTACCCCTGAATCCCTTTATCCTTGGAAAAAAGTTGATGATCCCAGGGGAGCAGAAATCATTAAATCAGCTTTAAAATTATATTTTAAATGAGAATTTAAAATAAAAAAAATATATCAGTAAGGCTTTTTTTTTTTTTTTGCATTCTCTTTCTCAACCTTTAAGGCGTACACAGGACACAGCCAGAGGCTTATAGATCCTCTGCACATGCAAGCTTTTCTTTGCAATGCATTAAAATAGACCCTATGTTCATGATGGGTGGCTAAAAGGATGCTCAACAATATGACATGGGGCAACGAGACTTTAAGGAGGGAAAAAAATGCTTTACAGTGGCAGTCTTACATTTCTTCGAAACCTTCCATTTCAATTATGAAGCCAAAGGGAAGTGTCCCTTCACCCATGAACCCACATGCTTATATAGTGCTCCTCCTTTCCATGTGGGTGTGAGGAGTAAGGTAGAGTTAAACACAAACAGCCTCTCAGCTTCTTCCCTAAGTCCAGCTTCCTCAGAGACTCAAGATCAGCACAAAGGACTAAGATCAGCAGCATTTTCTGCCTTTCATCTTTGCGGAAAACCAAAAGAAAGTTTTTGCCCCTGGGGCTGGAGGTTTCACCGTGCTGATATCATGAAAGATTTTCAGCCACTTCAGAGTCATAGAGAGCAGACTCAGAGCCGTCAGGGTCCCATGACCGCCCGAGCTCCACAGCTGCACCGCTGAAGCCCAGTCTGTGCCCACAGCCTGTGCTTCAGTCCCACTGGCACCAAACCAGATGGGCTGCAGAAGCATCACCCCACATCTACACTTCAGACCCTTTGGAGATGCAGCCCCCTCTCTGCAGCTGCTCCTCTCCTACACTGGTGGTTTCATAGCTCAGTTCACATCCTGCTTTGCAGCACTTCCTTTGGCGTCCCTGCAGCCAACCATGAGCCAGATGTGGGACCGGGCATGCTGGGCAGCCCTGAGAAGCAGCCTGGCGGGTCTGAAATGCTCCTTGCAAGACCTCCACCGAAGACGTTATAGAAATCAATGTGGGTGACGGACATAGCCACCAGCTTTAGGAGTCGAGCCAGATTGACTCAGACAGGAAAGGAGGAAAAGGGAAATCGTTAGCAGGGAGGAAAGCACACACTGGCTTTCCTGCACTCGGCTCTTACTCCACACGGAAAACCAGTGTGCTTGTGCGTGTGTGTGTGTGTCTGTGTCTGTGTGTGTGATGTGTTCATCAGGAGAAGGATGGCGACTGATTTCTCAGAATCACAGACTCCTACTACCTCAGTTAGTCCCACAGAAGAGAGGACTACACTCCATCTCTCTCCTTCCGCTACCTCTGAATGCCATGGCATTCAGATCCTCACAAACACTGACAGGCTTTTCTCACAAGCCATGGCCCTGTTTGACTGACAAGAAATGGTCCACAGGGAGGTGAAGTATCTGTGAGATTTCCAAGAAAGTCAGTGCTGGGTAAGCGTGTGACTCCAGGAGTCATAACCTTACAGCCTTCCTCCCTCACCTGCCATGTTATTCTGGTGTGCGTGAATTTAGCACTGGTGCCGCTTGGGCAGAAAGGATGTGTCTCTGCCTCATGCAAGGGCTGTGAGCTACGGGAAAAATTCTCCCTTTGCATGGATCACGTTACATATGAGGAGAGGCTGAGAGCTGGATTTGTTCAGCCAGGAGAAGCCTAAGGGGTGGTTATTGCCATCTTCCACTGCCTCCTCATAGAAAAGGAGCCAGGCTCTTCTCAGACATGTGCGGCAAAAGCACAAGGGGCAATGGGCACAAGTTGCAACACGGGAGATTCTGATTAATTATGAGGATCCTTTTTTCCACGAGGGCAATCATAGACTGGATCAGCTGCCCAGAGAAGATGGGGAATCTCCATCCCTTGCGACATGCAAAACTCAGCTAGGCTCAACTGGGCAATACTCTCTGCAACTTGACAACTGACATTGGTCCTGCTTTGGGCAGGGTCTGGACAATCCACCTCCAAGGCCCCTTCCTATTTCAAACTTTTGTGATTCTGTGACTCTTTCAGGATAAAATCAACCTCATAAGAAGCCTTCTTTTGGAAGACCTTTGGGACAACCAGTGCATCCCAGGGCAGAGCGAGCTGCACAGGAGTAAAGAGCATCTCCAAAGCTCTGGCTCTGCAGTTTTGGCAGCCAATCTAAAAACAACTTAGATGGCCCAGGCTGATGTTGTTTTGTAGGGCATTTCTGCCTCCAAACATCTTGGAGGGACAAAAGACGCATGAACCCCTGAAAGAGATGGCCCAGAGGGACATGAATTTGTGGGGCTAGTTAATATCACCAGCAGTCTATACAAGCAAGGTCCATGAACTCAAGCAGGCCTACAGCATCTCATGTAACCCTTCAGTGGGGGCGCGCTTGGATGCACCCAGGGCAGCAGGTCTTGGTGAGGAACATGCTGCTGTGTGTGCTCCCCTAAGGGAGCACAGGATGGAAGAAATTCTCTTACCATTGTTTTCAATGACTTTGGTCTGTTTCTTGTTGTTGTCCTGTTGAATGCCATGGATCTCAACTGTTACCTTAGGATCAACGATGGAATTTTTGCTTTTGTTCACCTTCGGCAGCTGCTGACCAGAGATGATCTGCAGAGGAAGCAGAGAAAAAGGGCAGGTTGTCAGGAGAAAGGGGGCTCCCTAGTAGAACTTCTCTCTCCTTCTGCAGGAGTGTAGGACCTGTTGTGACTAGTTGGTGTTGGTATTTTAAGGCCAGCATTGTGATATCCTTCAGAGGAAGCTGTAGTGAGCCAAAGCACCTAATGACCATTGCTTCAGCCCAACAGGCTGGGCAGGGGGCAGGGAATAGGGAGTTTCTCCAACTCTTCCCCGCAATGATCAGAGGATACTTGTACTTGGAAAGAGCAGAGGCAACTGTTTGCTGACTGCTTGCTGTAAGATGCCTGTGTCTTCCTGTACAATAGATACTGTCCTTGACCTATCTTGGTGCCAAATGTTAAACATGTGGATGAGATCCTAGAGGATGGGAGCTCACGCAGGACTGAAGTAGAGACTCTGACTGTGGGAAATCAGTGGGGTCAGAATAACGTTGCCCAGGTGGGACCAGCAGAAAGGGAAGGTACAACCTACAGCCCCCCAAGGCGGGTTCTAGTGATACAATTTTCCAAATTCTATTCTTACTTTAAGCAGAAGTTTCTTCCTTGTCCCCCATGCTCCTTCTGTGATGGATTTTGGATTGAATTTGGTTTGCTCATCCCGGAGGAATTCCGGCTTTAAGACATACCCAGAAAACCCATTGTCCTGGAACCGACCCTGGTAGACATCCATTTCTGTGCCTGCTGTCTGGAAATTTAGGGCAACTGCAACATAAATAAATAAATTCAGTCACTTTCAAGTAAATGAATGGGAGTCTTTTTATACTCATTTTATTTACCCAAAATTGCACTTCATGGATGTAAACATTGGCTTTTCCATGCCGCACAGAGCAGTGATACACTCCACCCCTCGCAGCCTGCTCCCCCTGAGGATTTCTCACATTCAGCCCTGTTAAAGGCAAAAGGAGCTATTACAGCCATCCCGGTTGTCCTCCTGCCTGCCACAGGGTCAAAGAGCATCCTGCATTGAAATTACATCATCTGATTGAATAACCTCATCTTTCAAATAAACCCATTCATTTCTACGCTGAAGGAGTCATCTACTGCAGTGAATCCAGTCGGTCCTTCTCAAACTGTCTGTCTGATGGCTTAGCCTCACTGTGAAGCCTCCTTTCCAAACACACCAACTGCCTTTTGCCATCCTTAGGGCTGGTTAGACTGGCGAGCTCTTCACTATCTGAACTCTTCATGCAAGAGTACAGAAACTGTGATCAAATGACCTTTTTATTATCACTTGCCCAAAACAGATAGAGGCTCACTGATCTCCTAATACCAGGCAGATTTTTTGTACCCTTTTCAATTTACCAACATCCTTTTAAAAGTGTGGATGTCAAAACTGGATTCAGGCTCTGGGAACGGTCTCACTAATATCACATAGGGAGAGATATGGACTCCGGTGCCTACTCCATACTCCACTGACATCTCAAGTACAGTGATAACCTCTTAGCCATCTCAAAGAAGGCTCCAGGACAGCTGACAGTCTATCCTGGTCCTGGGTCCTAGGCACTTGAAGGCTAAAAGCATTTTCAGCCACTCCCCTACTTCTGCACAGGCTTTAATAACTGCGGTATATTGATTCTACTGCAAGTACTCAGGGCTTCTTATTTTGGGTGCCCATATGTTGGATTGCCTGAGTTTAAGGCGCATAGATCCAGCCTCAGTATACCCCGAGAGATGCAACATCGCCTTCCAGGGACCCTCCTGAAGCCAGACTCATTGCTGGCAGACAGGCCCATAGGCGCTACCCACAAAGCCTGCAAGATCCCACCAATTTCACCTGCTATCAGGCACATGCAGCCTGTGCAGGTCCACATGGCTGGGGGACAGGGAGCCCCACATCTGCTGCTTCTCTCACCTATCAGGGCTGCATAGGCACAGCTGGAAGGTCTCCAGCATCTGCACAGAAGAAAGCCCAGGATGCCAGCTGCTAGCCTACCCCTTATCACTGCACCAGGTTTCCTGGATGAGAGCTGCAACATGCTTCACTTAACAGGCTTCCGGATCCTTGTTTTCATAACATCTCAAAGACATCTATATGCTGTTGGGGTTTCAATGTCCCAGGAGCAGATTAGACATGCTGCTTTGACTATAGGAAAAGCTCAGACGGTAGCTTGCCCCTTATGGTTATGGTCCTGCCCTAGGGCTTGAGAGATTTGAGTTTTGTTTCCAGTCCTGCCACAGATTTCTGCATGCTCTTGGATAAGGCATTGTATCTTCTGGCTCCCCCTGGCCCTTCTATGTTAAATGGCAATAATTGTGCTTCCGCAGGGATGCGCTCCTTAATTTGCACAAAAGATTCTCCTAACAGTAATAAGGTAGGCCAGTAAATGGCCTATGAAAAGTCAGTGAGCACCGACTGAAGAGCTGATTTATCCTAGTGACCACTGAGCCTGTCTTGACAGCAAGTGGCTTGAGATCACACGTCTACCTCAGTCGAAGCCCCACGACACCAGGTCATGAGTGACCTGGCCAGGTTCACCCTCTCACACCTCCCCGTTGCACCCACCAATCTGGCATCCGACGTTCCACAAATCGACAGGGTTATAGTTGGAGGAATCTGTCCTCCAGCCTGCAGGGTAGATCCGACTCAGGTGCCTGATGTTGTGATGAATAAAATTGTTTCCTATAGAAAAAAGAAGAAAACGTCCCTTTCAGTGATGGGGGCCACATTTATCTCTTCTTAATGCTGTATAAACTACTGGAGGGTCTGGCTGTATACGAGCTGCCTGGATAAAATGCCCTTCTTGGTAATAGCTTCTACAACTTAAAAGTTATTCCCACTGTTTCTCATCATAACATGCATGGCTGAAGAGAGTACAGCCTAAATCTTTGGGAATGCCACCTCCCCATGCTTGACTACAGCTAGCTGTCCCTTTATGGGGGACGGGGGCAGAGGACAGCCTTTTGCCAAGACAGAAAGTACGTACCAGACTCCTGAGCTAGCTTCAGAGCTTTGCTCTCTGAGAACGATGACATCTCGTAGAAAGCCCGAGGGTGACTGGGGTCCCCAAAGCCATTGAAATGGACACTCTTGCAGTAGACAACTGTGTCTGACAGCTCCTTGGCGAGCTTCAAGGTGTCACTCTAAAAACAAGAAATGAAGGGGTCTGTGGGGAGTTTCTACAGTCCTGCTCAGAAACGCTCATCATATCACGTCTAGGATGCCTGGGGCTTCTCTTCTCCAACCTCTCCAACTGAAAAGGATGCCCAGTATCAACACTCAGTGGCACCCCTATGCAGAGGGACAGTGGAAAAGGGGCAGGCTGCCTTTGCCATACCCCTTTCCCTCCGTGGAAAGTGATAATCCCTCCACTAGGAGCATCAGTTGGAAACACCACTGGCATGTTTCACCAGTCCATACACCGGCCTGTCCGATGATAACACCGGCTTCCCAAGTGTTACCATCCAGAGTATTTCACTCTATCATCTGAGTCGTCACTCCTTCTACATTTATTTATATGTTGTTACGTGAACGGATTTTATAGCTTGTCTATTGGGCTCAGAAGTGATTAGGGCTGCAAATGCGGGAGTAACTCATCTAGCCTGTAATGGTGAGCTAAGAAAGGATTTCATATAGCAGATGCTCTGCTATTTCAGCACCCTTGTTGCATGATGTCCTCCAGATGGATTCTCTCACTGTGTTGGTGGGATACCCTTTCTAATGCTTTCTGCACGATTACTTGTATTTCAGCGCCAATGGCTTTCTCCAGTAGCTAAGCTTTACGACTAAGCTTTAGCAATGGCCTTCCATTTTGTCATGGTGCCAAGCATGCAGACCTGAAAATAAGGAGAAAGAAATGATGCTTGGGCCTCCATGGAGCTTGGGCCTGTTTGCCTTCAAATAAGAAGACGCCAAGTTGTTTGCACGATGCTCTGATTCCCACTACTCCACTGCCACATTCATTGGTGCAAGAGTTAAGCAAGAGCCGTGAGCTTCCATCAGAGACAAGTAAAGAAAATGATAAACTTCAAAATAATACACACTGTTGACTACAGATCAAAGAATGAAATAACCCCCTTAAAGAATGACTGAATCAGCAAGGGAAATCATAGAGCAGACCAGATCTGGAGGCAATGCCAAGCAGCTTTGACATCAGCGGGACTGAATACATTTATGCCATCTATGAATCTGTCATATGCCATAAGGCATATGACTTTCATAGTGACATGCAGGCTGAAAAAATGAGTGTCTTCACATGCGGGAGTGAAACACTGGTGTGAAGGCCAGCCTTTCCCCTCCAGAAATAGTCATCCCAATTGTTTCGGCAGCCTTCCACCCTTTCCCCATAGCTCTGTAGCTCTTTCCCCCCTACACAGCCAGTAAAACGTGACCAATGAGCGTACAGGTATCTCCCAAAGCGTGAGCAGATACACACCAGTTTCTGGTAGGGAGCAATGTCATGATGGTCCCCTGATACACGGATGTCTGGGAATGAGACAGAGATGGAGCACACATGTTTTCCCCTTCTGCTTCCATAAATGCTACAGGGTCTGCCCAAGGCAAACAAACCTCCCACCTTGTTTTAGGACAAGAAGCCAACCTTCATGATTGGATGGCTCTGTGAGATCTCCGTGCTTGTTTCCGGGACAGAGATCATTAAGCTGAGCAAGGACCAGGACCCTTAGCTGCAATGCTTTCAGTGATTCACCCTACCCTATTCCTAGCTGAGTTGCTGAAATCATACTGGAAGCTGGCTTAACTGGGACCAGACTAAAAGTATATTTCTGTTATTTTTTTTCTTCAGGCATGGCACAAAGTCCACCTAGAAAGTGGTTTGTCATTCCATATTTCAAGGAATGAAATAGGCAAAAAGATGGGATTTCCTCAGAACTTCAAAGCCTTCTGCAACAGGCAAAGATCTAGCTTATAGGTCTTTCTCCCTCTCCGGATCTTCTCTGTTCAGGGACTCAGTTATGTTTTTGACTCACCTTTCCCTTCTGCTCTACTTCGGTCTTTACAGATTCATCTTCCATTTCAGCTGCTTCGTCTTCATCAGAGACATCCTCAGCCTCCAAGTTATTGTTCCCATTTGTTCCAGTGGGGTCCTCTTGCCTGCTCAGCTTCTTCCCTTTCACAAGGATCTTCCCTTTTAATTGCTGCACAAGAAAACATCGACAAAACAGCTGGCGGTTAGAAAAGATTATGTCCTGCTCTAAAGGAGCAAGGAATACCAGCTTCTGAGCTTTAATTAGGGCCAAGGACCTTTAGAGTTTCATCAATCACTGATTATCATCCACAGATACAGATAACAAGTAGGTCCGTTCTTCTGCTGAGGCTTTGCCCTGCCTCTGGCCAGCCCCTGAAACCACAAGTCATGAGTCTGAAAACCCCAAATAGCCCATTGATTCCCCTCTGGTACAGACCATCCATCCCGTCAGCAAGATGACCTAAACATCAGTGCTATTAAAGGCCATAAAAATGTATTATTTTTTCAAAATTGAATGTAGCTCAGTGAACAAGGCCAAGTCTGGAGGTCAGGACTCATGGGAGCTATTCATAGCATCGTTACTGACCCTCTGCTTGGATATAAACCAGCCTCTGCAATGTATGCATATAAACACCACACAACTTGGGAAACTGAGATCTATGCAGGGATTGAAGCAGTACAGCCCTGTGCATCACTAGGCTGCTTAACGGGGAGAGGCCCATTAAGTTCTGGACAGGTGCCTTGTGCCTAGCACATATAGCATTTTAATACGTGTGGGAGCTTGTAGGTGAAACCTGAGGGTGCTGACAACCTAGGGCAATGTTCCCAAATCAGAACCTTCCCAAATATGTCTCCTCTTCTGTGAGGAGCTCCTCTGTCACTGCTCCCATGGCGGGACACAAGCAAATAACCCTGGCAACACTTAGGGGCTTAGAAGACATTTTAGCAGCAATGGCCCTAGAGATCAGCTGCTGAGAAGTGGCACTGGGCAGTAAACAACAGAAGGCCTTCGAGTGACTATGAATGCCTGGTACCCTACTGGAGAGGAGCTGTAGGGGATTTACTTTCTCCTCACATTCACAAGTTCAAGGGGAGCCCTGAAGCTTTTGCTCAGCTCAGCCAGGCTGCCTTTAAGCAAAACAAAACCTTGGGTGATAGGTGCTCAGCCTGCATAGATCAGCACATGCCAGTGTCACACAGCTGGCTGCCTGCCTAATCCAAGGAACACATTTCTTGCACTGAATCAGCTCGCTCCAGCCTCTTTCAATATCTACATGAAACCTTCAGGTGAAGTGGAAAAGCAGTATGACTCCAGCGCCAGGAACACACCGATAGCACATGGTGCCTGCATACGAGCATGTCACCACTGTGGCCCAGCACTTGCACCGGATCTGACTGCAGAAGGAAGGCTGAACCCTTCAGAGGGCGGACTCTGATCCCAAATGAGGTAGCAGCAATACTGGCAGCAGAGAGTAATACAGAATAGGGTGACTGCCCAGAGGCCATCTCCAAGGGAATGGAGTATGCCCCAAAATCAGTTAATTTGGCCCAGGAGCACTCCTACACCCTGCTGCTTCCAGTGAAGTCAGTGTGAGGTCTGCTGTGATTCCCACTGGCATATGGATGCTTTTGGCACTCCTGGCTAAGGAGAGTGTTACTTATTCCAGCAAAATGCAATCTCAGAATTAGCCTCAGTCTTTGTGTAACACGTTCGCCCTTCTCTCAGTGACATCCTATATTTGCCCCTTTCACCACAGCAAAAGAAACAAGCCCCACTGCTCTCAAATGACAGGGCTGTGGAAAACCAAGGATCTTTGTTAAAAAAGTAACACAGATTTTTGAAGAACGCTTTTCCCTTTTTGTGTGTGCAAGCAAATTGCATCACGTTTCAGCAGATCAGCCTCACTCCTCGTTGCCCAGCCAAGCTGTGCATAAAGTTTGATTTAAGCTGAAATATGACCCCGGCACCTGTAGAAGCAGCCAAGAGCATTTTCCTTCAGCTACCACAAAAGATGTGTTTACATTGGGGCACTTTTCCTGTCACTCAAAAGCTGCACAAAGGCATCTGGGAGGAGGCTACCGATTACTGGGCACCGACTGACTGGGAAAAAAGGATGGGAAAAAAGGCCGAAAGGGGCATTCAAAGCAGAGCAGCATTCTCCTCCCCACATCCAGACAATCCTCAGCCAGCTCAGCTCCTCAGCCCTCTTCTAGGCAGAGTTTTGCCTTGCTTCTTCACATGCGCAGATGGGAGATATAATGGCTCATCTTCAAGTTTCACTTCAAAACCTCCAGTCTGTGGATTGCACCCACATCCCATACTCCCTGCTCCCAGGATCGAGCTCCTCTCTGTCCTTCCACAACACCCACTGGCAGTCAGAATGTAGCTCTGTGCAAATTTTCAGGCTCCGTTCAATACTTTGAATAGGCTGGCCTGGGGGATTGTGTTGGTGGGGGGACCCAGAGAAGCACTGCTGCTCCTTTGTAGGCTGTAGACAGCACCCTGCTATACGCTATTACTCTCTGCTTCTGCTTTCTAACGTTCCCTAAGGGATGTTTCAATAACTGTACCACGCCTCATATCATGGCGCAGGGGTAAAAAACTAGGGATTAAAAAGTGTTTGGGGCAGATTGCTTGATTCACTGTTACCGAATGGAATACTAACCCTTCTTAAGCTATTACAATTCAGGACAGACTATCTGTTCAGCAAGTGGGAGGTGTAATTTCCGGCACAGACCCACCCTAGCTGGCTGAGTAACATCAGCAGCGATGGCACAGCAAGGTGGCCTTCATCTCGGCCCCTGACCACAGCACGTACCAGGGCTGCCAGCAGTGGGTCCTCAGTGCTGCTCCTAACCAGGCACACCGGTCAGCCTGGGCTGTTAGATAGGATGCTCAATGCAGTGATTACAGTGGTCCCCTCTGGCCTTGAAATCTAAGGAGTTTGTTCCCCTCTGGAGTCCTGTTGCATCGCAAAGGTTTAATATTCCCCAGTGCAGGTGACTTCCACCATGCCTCTGAGGGAGAGCAGTCTATGTGCCACCAGATCCAAGAGAAGATGCATTAGCTTACTGGTTTTCTTTCCATCTCCTTTCAGAAGGGTGAGATTCATCCCAAAACAGATTGAATCCCCAAAACAGATTCATCCCAAAACAGATCCCAAAACATCTCCATTTCCTACAGAAGGTGCTGTTCTACAGCAGCATTGCACCAAATCCACCCTGCAGAAGCTGCTAGTGCTAAGCATTGTCCTCTTTCATTTAATGTAGGTGGCAGGAAGCAAAGTCCTAAATTTCTGTGCTTACCTCCTTTAATGAGGTTTTAAACCAATAAATACACACAGCCACAAGCACAAACACTCATTCTAGCTCTCTTGGTTTTCCTTCATGTGATATTAAGTATTTCTGACCTAACTCAGCCTGAGGGGAAAGACATCAGTTCAGCTCTGTTGAGCAGAGCCTTTGTCTCAGGAAGAAGTACGCGCATTCCCAAAATACTTAGCAAATATTCTCCATGTAGACCATAAAGCTATTCCTACTGCCTGTGGCAAGCGCAAGGTCAAATACAATCTAAGACAATGGGAATAGCTACACTTGGACACCGGACCAAGAACGCATAGTATGGTGGCTGCTGGAACAGGGGCAATTCTTGCCCTTTCTTATATTACCCTTTTAAGTCCTATTACTTTAGTTCTCCACAAGCACAGCTCCTCTGCTCACCCACCTTTTTTACTGCATGCTGAGCAAGCTCGGCTCTGCCAGTGCAACGATTCTGACACCAAGCTTTGCTCCCTTTGGGAGTCTAGGGTTTGAGACGTGGCAACCATCTTAAATCAAAGCACTGTTTATTTTATCAGAAGCAGCAGAGCTGCTAAGAGCAGACTATTTTAAAAGATCTGCACACATGTGTTTATCCTGCCTGAAAGTATCTCACCCCTAATGGCAACCTGTAAGCCACATTCCTATGGCAAGGCACGATTTCCAACTTTAATCTTGGTGGGAGTGGAGGTTTGTTAACCGGATCTACCTCACCAAACTTTCTGTGCTTTCGACACCTCCTTTAGAGTCAACAGAGAGAACTAAACACTTACGGGATGTGAATCATTTGGCCTGTTTAGACAACAAGTCAGGAGGAGGTGAACCGCGCCTCAGACTCCCCTGGTTGTATTAACTAGCTCTCAAAGGGAGCCCAAAGTGACTTGCTCAGGTCCATGGATATACAGTATCTGAGCAGTGCCACCTTACACCTCACTCTCAGTACAAAAAATTAATCTCCCTAGACTTCAGGGAAGCTGTGAAGATGAACAAGTTCATGTTCTTATAAGGAGATATGTAGACCAGATGCGCTACTTCATACCACATCCCCATCTATGGATGTTTTTCAGGCCAGCTTTAGGCTGCAGTGCTGCAGGGTTTAACAACGAGGATGAGGGTTTAATACCAGAACACGGGAAGAGGCATCAGAAAAAAGAAAGAAACACATTATCAAATATCAAAGGAGGTTTTGAGACATTTGAGAGAAATACAACTCAAAGATTTCAGCCAAGAAGATGCACTGTAGACATGACTGATTTGCTTCATTGCCATGAGTGCAGCACAGGACAGGGCAGCGACCTCGGTGTTCAGATGGGTTGTGCTGAGCCTTACAATGGCGCTATTACACTAGAACCAGATCCTGAGCTAAGTGGCTCAAAGCAATGCTGAATGGGGGCACCAGAAGCAGCAATGGACATGATTGATGGGACGGCTGGTGGGACGGTGGAGGTATGGGATGTCGGTGGCCGCAGCCAGAAGCCTTTCTATGAGGGGAAGGGCAGATAGAGCCCTTCTGAGGTCACTACACCAGGGCTCCAGAGTGGGGAGCACATGGTCACCCCACCAAGGCAGGTCTGCTAAGTCCATGAGCCACCCTCATTGTGAACAAGAAAGTCCAGTAACAAAGGGTAGAGGGCTCTTGGACATGTCCATTGTGTTGGAAGCTGCATTCAATGTTGGCAGCTGTTTTAATCTCATTCTAGTGCTGTTTTCTGTCTCATTTCTAGCTGGAAAGTAAGGATGCGGGGAAAGAGCACTGGCAGATCCCTGTGCAGAGCTGGGCTGGGGCAGAAAGGCCTGCAACAGGCAGTCATCAGCAGGAGTTGGAGCAGCTCTCCCCTAGGTCCCTGGCGCTGCCCCAAAGCTTTTCTGTAGCTTTTCTGTGGCTTTTGGCCTTTCACCATATAGACCTCAATTTTGTTATTGGGATGTAAAGACAGTGGGTTTTAGGGAGCTATTTGGATACCTCTGTGCAGCTCAACCCTCCATTCGTGCACAGACCCTAATAAATCAGATGGCTGCCCTGGGCTGCAGTGAGATTCAGTGTGAATCCAAACCATGCCAATCTTCCTTTAATTACTGATATTGCCCTGCTAACACACTCTGCAGCAGTGCTTTGTCTGCTTCTATTTACAGCTTTACAGCCCTCTTCCCAGTGGCAGATCCCACCCTTTTTCTAAGAAAAAAAAAAAAAAAAATTACATTTTCTCAGGCTTTCCCCGTGCCAGCTTTACAAGGAAGTGGAAAATCCCAAAGGTTTTTGTTGTTTTTTTCCCCGTAGTGTTTCAGGTTCAATGTACTTTCCATGAACAGTCAGCAATTCAGCCCTTCACACTCTTCTACCTCACATGGCAGTCAGGCAGAGGAAAAGTACCAGAGGAAAAAGTATTGTTTTTGCTACACTGGCAATTTTTGTCTTTTTAAACTAAATGGATCAATTCCTCCACCGGAGCATATTAGCCCAGATCCATTCACTAAGGTAAATCCGGGCCCTTTTGTTCCAGCTGGAGCAACATGTCCATCTGGGTAAGCAGAGGAGCAGGAGAAGAATGGGAAAAGCATCTTCAGAAGGCTGAGGTCATTCCCTTAAACATATCACACGTTTCTCTCCCTGGTGTTTCTCCTTTCCTTTTCTACATTATTCCCCTGGCCTACAAAGCATTAACAGTGCTTTGAAAAGTTGTCAGCAGCTTTCCTGCACTTATCCTGCACTGAGGATAAATAACAAGCCAGGAGGTGACACTTAATGCTTTGATTTTCCAACTCAGTAATAGCCTGCAGAGATCTGTCTCCATGCTGGGTGTATCCTTACCCTGGGAGAGTCACTGCTTAAAAGGAGGCAACTAGTCTGTGTCAGTGTAAAGGTCTTGCTGAAGCAACAGTATTAAAAATTATGATTCATCCTATTTATTGCACTGAGTTGGTGCCTAGGGACCAACTCAGATCAGCTTCCTTCTGTGTTAGGCATTGTATCAAGTAGGGCGCGACACTCCCAAACAAAAGGAGAAGGTCAGAAAGAGAAAAGAGAAAAAAGAGAGAGGGAGAACAAATACAGAAAACATTTTGGGGGGGCTCATTTCCCTCCCCTTTCTCCCCTGCTGACTACCACCTTTATCCCACCCACAAATTCCTTCGAGCTCCGGCTAGGCATTCTTGTCTATTTTTTTGGCAAATCATTTCTGTAATAAAGGAATGCAATTTAAAGGGAACTGCAACTACTTTCACACAAGCCTGGTTCTGCAAAGTGCCTAGCAGAGAACAAAAGAAAAAAAAAAAAGCCTAAAGGGTGGAAACAGGCAAATGGTACATTGTGTTTTTTTTTTTTAACAATTTTTTTTTCATATCAATTTTTGTCTAATTTTCAGCTAATAATTTTATAGCAGTAGAATCCTGTTGAGGGCTATATCTCTCCTTCTGCCCACAGTTTGTACCCACAGCTAATCTTCCCTGCACGTGCAATAACCTAACCGTGCTTCAGATAATTAGCCTGAAGAAGGTCATATTCAGCTTTGGGGTGCGGTGAGCTGACGTGAGACAGATCCTCAGTACTCAGCTGCCCTGTGACAACCCACAAAAGCAACCTCCTCAGAGGAGTAAGCGCATTGCCTGGCCTTAGTACATGGACAAGGAATGTCCTCAGTGCTTCAGGGATGTCTCCTCTGAGACCTTACACAGCAAGCAAAGAGCGACAGAGCTTGATGTGCACTGGCCATTTCTAGGTACTCCTCTTTCTTGTTCCACTGCTACCCTCAGGAAGCTCTGTTCCTCTGCGAGGACACCTCCCTCCAGCCTCGGGAATATTCTCCCCCACTTGGTGACCCAAAGGCCGAGCAAGAAGATAGACCTGTCTCTCGTCCCACCCTCAGAGAGCAGGAAGTGCTACAGTGGCCTTGCTCACCTCTGGGGAAGGGAAGTGGGATTTGTTTCCGTCAATCGGTGCGACCAAGAGCATGTCCTGCAGGATCGTTGTCATGTGCTGAGCCATGACCTTCTGCTGGTCAAGGCTGCAGTGGTTCTCCAGGGAGATGATGACAGGGTATGGTGAGGTCTAGAACAAGACAGCAACATCCATCATCGGTGAAATCTGCAAATTCACCAATCTACAGCAGTTATTACAAACCCCAGTGCTGCTAGAAGTTTTAAATGGCAAGTTTTCTCTTGAAACTAAAGTGTCAATAGCAGTGCTTAGGATTCCTTTAAAATGCGCATTTATTAAAAATGACATATTTAGCTGCAGTGTAGCTACTCAGATCTCTGTTGATGCCTTCCAAAAATGCCAAGCCCATGTACAGGGCAGTGCGCTGGGTTGGGCTGCCTGCCACAGACTTCCTAACGCACTTTGACGAGGCTCCCGGGGCCACCGTTCTCCATCTGCACTGTGGGTATGAGCACCTCCCTACCACGGAGCAAGGACCGGGAAGGGAGGCTTTGTAAATCACTAGGTTTGCTCAGATCCTTAGGTGACCAAGATTTCGTGCAGCTGAACACTTCCTCCTTTCAGGCACAGGCCTAATCTGGTTCCCTGTAACCTCCTAGACATTTGCTGAAGACATTGTCATTGTCACTGCAGCCCTAAAGGAAACTTGGTATGGGTCTCAGCTCAATTGTGTTGAAGGAAAATAGTAGAAAAACCCAGTGGGTCTGGGCAGACCCAAAGTTTTGTGAAGGCTGCTGGCTCAACACTGCCATATAAGACTCCAGATCCGCTCATTCCTTTTAATCCAGGATAGAAGCAGTCCTTCACATGTGTCCCTCCAATGCAGATGCACTTGAGTTCTCCTAAGCTAGGGATGTAACCTGAGACATAAAAATCAAGCAAATCATAGGCCTGTTAGCACTTTCCACTACATAAGTAGTTGTTCAAGATATTCGGCCATTATTTTCATTGCAGTGGGGCCCAGGGTCCAGTTGGTGCTGGTACAGATTCACACTCAGCACCCGACAGCGTGCTGCCTAACCATGACTCCCAGAAATGGATCTCTGAAGAAGACAGAATATGGATGCCCAGCCAGAAGCATATGTCTTCTACCCATGAGAAACACTAAGGTGTAGACTTTTTTTTTTAAATGGTCTCTGCTGCGAGGGCAGAGACATGCTATCAGTCTTGAACTGTGCAATATGAGAAATCTGAGAGGGTCCAAGTTCCCTTGTCCTTACTTTGAAAGCATAGTTCTTGATGGCCTTAATGACATCACTGAAGAGGATCTTGGAGGTGAGAGTGTAGCCATGATAAATGACGGGCTCTGAGTTAGGGCCATCCCAGCAATCCAGTTCCACACAGCGGCAGCCTTTGGTGAGGGCTCTGGAAACAAAGAACGGAAGTGGTTGGGTTTTAAACCTTCCCCTCCGTTTCACAATGAGGCTGTATCAGGCACAGGTTATTTCCTGGGAAGGCTGACGAGGAGCTTGGGGATGCAGGGAGAAAAGAGGATCTTGGAAAAAGGGGAAAGCAGATGGAGAAACTGTGGAATCAGGAGAGCTCAGAGTCAGTGAAGAGAGCTCAAGGCCAAGCAAGGAAAGTACACAGAGGATCTGAGAATAGAGGCCATGAAAGTCCAAGGTAACTGGCAGAAAAGGAGACATAGTGAATGCCACGTGAGAAAGAACACTCGTGTCTGTGCTCAAAGACTGCGCCCAAAAATCATGAAGAGAAAATGAAGAGATGATGCACTGGAAGAAAGACAGTAGGTCAAAGTCAGCCTTAGAAGCCAGCTCACAGAGCCTGATGATGTGCCTCCTTCAACTAGATCCGATAAGACATGGGGGACGAATCCTCAGAGCTGTCAGGGAGGGATCTGTGAGAACTCTGCAATGACAGCTGGGGACATTGCTGAGAGCCAACGTGCCAAACTGAGTCTATAGACTGAATTTCCCTTTGGAAAGTCCTGCCTGTAAATATCTACACTTGCATTTTCATTTCCTTTCAAATGTAAGTCCCCCTATATGGCGCTATCTCTCTAGAAGGTCATTTTGTCTCTTTTACAGTAACCGTGTGTACGTTTCAGATAACACATCTCCTGTGACTCATTGCAATAAGAATCACGGCAATCTTTACTTATAGCCAAAATGTAATCCCGTAATTTTTTGGATACTGCAAGAACAATTGATACAGCTAATGAAAAAGCACCTGGTGTCAAATTTCATTCTCTGCTACTTTTAAATTTATGACCCCAGACAGCCATTGTTTCCTGAGAATCAGATAAGTAATAAGCAAAGGCAGAACCACGGTCATCAGGTTGCTTATAGGGAAACTTTTAACAGTGCAGTGTATAGATCCCAACAGAAGGAAGGGAAGAGGGTTGTGCAAGTTAATGGAGGCCATCGCAAACATCTGGCCACTAGCTGTCAGACACAGCATTTGTCATTGAAGTCAGAAGTAGGCAACTCCTAATATTCTGTCCAGGGATGCTGTGGGAGCATCTAAACTGCTAAAAAGGAACCATGCAGAAGCTTTCTGATCACCCGCACTGCCTCATTAGCTCACATCCCAGCCCGTTTTTTGGATCGCTCCAGCCAGCTTTCTCCAAGATAAACCTCAGCGTGGTCCTAGGGATAGTTCATGCCAGGGACTACTCCCAAAAGGCAATATGGATCATTAACATTATGGTAATATGCATCATTTTTGGCTCCTTTCATTCCCTACGCAGTCTTCCAGCTCTATCCCAGAAGTCTTTGCAGCTTATAAACCCCCAGCACACACGATCCCATGTCATATTATGTGGCATACAATAGACTCCCTCAGCTTCACACTTGGAAAGCACCATGCTACAGGGCTGCAATCCAATCTCCATATTATTGTAGATATTTTAAAATGGAAAAAAAATATATAGTAATTGTATGCCTTATAGTCAAAAGGACACCACGCGGGGCCCAGAGGAGACTCAGGATAAAGTGCTATGTAATGCTTACGTGGCCAACCTGGTCTACAAACAGCTCACCTTAATATGAACACAAACCAGTGCATACTACTTGGTCTCAGGGTTAGAGATTGCTTCTTGGTCCTTTTGTATCTACAGTATAAATGCATCTTGTGACCACACATGCACACGTGCGCACACACACAAACGTTACCTGATATAGGCCTCTGTGCTGCTTGGACCTGTCAGTTGGTCTTCCATGAGATAGGTATTGTGTGAGGATGACACCAAGTAGTGACTGAGAGGTTGAGTCATATCCTGGTAAACTTTACTGTGAGACGAATTGAATATATTTCCATCATCAGACAGCAGGTACATCAGGAAACCATCCTTGGTCATGGCGTTACCTCTCTTGGCTGCCAGATAAATTGACACAAGCCCCACAGTGAAAATTTGACACCTCCAGGTTGTTCCATCTTCACCAAGCTTATAACTCTGCCTGCAGATGCCTGCTGATCTCCAGAGGATCTCAGAGGCAAAATGTGCTCCCCAGACATTCAGCTATTAGTAAAGATGCTGATGCTGTTCAGGTGATGATGACATCCTCATCTGCCTGAAAATGCTTTTAAAACCCCTTTACAAGCATAACACTTGATAAGACCTAAAAAATGCCAAAAACAGCACTTAACTAATCCTTCTCTAGAGATTTACAGTACAAACATCTCCTTTTGAGATCTTCAAGTTCCCCTCATGTCCACATAGAGAAATTGTCATATGTCTAAATATGGCCAGATAAATCCCACCTAGATCCAATGAATATATGATTTGCAAAGAGAGTAAATACAGAATGAGCACTTTGAGGAGAAAAGGGAATCTCCCCATCTTGAAGGATGGAACTAGATCCCAGTCCAGTCTCCACATCTGACATCTATAAAGTAGCATTGTCCCTCTCCTGAAGGTGTACTAGGAAAATGTAGAAAGAGTCTATGATGTTGCGATGGTGTCTTGAACATGTCCTTCAATCTGTCCCAGACTGGCTATTCATTTAATTTCTGAGCACAAAGACAGTTCTGTGTTTGTTCTCCTAAAGAGAAGTCACTTTCTTGGCTCTTTACTCAGAGACCTCACCACCTGCCTGCATTCAAAAAGACTGGCCTCTATTCCTGCTTCTGGAGAGCAGAAACATTGCTACCTACTTAACCTTGTAAAGCCACCTGAGATCTTTTAAATAGGTCATCAGAGCCTTTGCCACAGGGATTTCAGTGCCCTCTCATCACCTCGTTATCAATCCCTTTCTTGCTAATCAATGTACCTAAGCTGAAGGAGAATAGAGAAATTTCCTTTGCTTTTTTGTGGCCGCCTCTTCTAGAGCTGCTAATGTTTCCCTATAAGACTGGTCTTTCAGCAACAGCAGCTAGGAGAAACATACACATGGCTGCAGAAGAAAGCAACAGGAAAGCAATTCAGAGCTCAGTAAGGAGGTAAAGTTTTGACCCAAACCAGCCAGGGTTCCAACCTACCTCTTTCATTGGGCTCATATCTCTGAATTAAGGCAGGAGCAGCAACAACAGCGTCTTCTTCTTGCTGCATCTCATAGAGGAACCTCACCAGGTTCTGGCAGGACATGAACCCTTCCGCATCTGCATACTTTTGGAAGATTTTGTCTATTTCCTCCCTCTCTGTCAGTATCTTGTAAAATTCCTCTATCTCCTCATCCTCCAAAGCCTCTGTTTTGGACTTGTCACAGTGCTGTAAACGTAGAGGGGAGAAGGAGTGAAAACCTTCTTTCCTTCTGGCATATGCCAGCCGTAATCTGCACCAGGGCTACACAACGCAGAACACAAAATAATTGGACAAAGTTACTGGGCAGTGAAGAAGAAGCAATTGGTCAATGGTTCTCATTGACAAGCCCAAGTCATAGCACAGTTACAATTATTTTTATTTACTCACATCGTCAGTGTGCCAAGGGGCGCCAGGCACGGCCCCGAGCTCCACTACACTAGGTGCTATGCAAACAAAAAGTTAAAAGGAAAGCTCCTGACAACCTCAGCACAAAGCAAACGTCAAGAGACCAAGAGATGGAGGAATATACAAAAACATTTAACTCAATACATCTTAAACTATTGATGGAGACCCTGCTCTAAAAATCTAGTAAGTAAAGTTAAAAGAGCCTTAATCTTTGATCTATCATGACAGATAGAGCTATAGCCCTGGGTTTTACGTACAAAATGCATGCTTTCGTTTAACCAGTCTTTGTACTAATCTCAGCCTAACCCTGCTGATGACCTCACCGCTGGCCACAGCAGCCTTGGCCATCCCCCAAGCAAGATGATAATGAAAGACTGTTTCTCCCTCTGGAATGACACTACTGGAATGCTTCAGTGGCAGTTTACAGCCCACTTATAAAACCAAACAAAATGATCACGATGCATTGCGTCCCACCAGCTGAACCAATGGCAAAGATTTCCGCTTGTTGTTCAGATTTCAGAATATACTAGGTAAAAGCTATAGGTTCCTCTCAGGGAGGGGACAACCTGTGAAATGCTCAGTGCTACGGGCAACTTCAAAATAAGTTTGAGCACTCCCGGAACCATCCTTTCCTTGCTGCATTCCATGACTGCACCATCCTCTGCTGTAGATCTGGCAGATCTCACAGCCCAAGCAGAGCACGATGTTTAGTGAATGAAGAAGGAAAAGAAAGAGGGAAATAGACTGCTGGAAACTGCAGGGATCCAATGAATGACAGATGTTCTTTTCTTTAAGACAGGACTGGGAAAATAATATGATGCTGCTCCTCAGAGGCTGGCACTGTAAGTGATGGGCCTTGGGAATTTTGGTCATTAGTGACCATTAAAGGTCTTGATAACAATAGGATAATTGCACTGCCATCATAGTCACATTGCAGGATGGATCAGATGCACTATGTAAAACCAGGCTGTTTCTGCTTGTGTTGAAAGAGTTCCAACTTAGAAAGAGAACCTCAGCACAAAATCCTGTTTCACCTCATTTGTGTGCGTCATAAACCATGAGGCCTCAATTAGCTTTGGCTTGCCAGAAGGAGCCAGAACCTTTCCGATGCACCAGAATGAACATTCAGTTTGAAATGCCTGAGCAACTAGAGAAGCTTTGTGTAGTTCCTGCTTGCATTGCATATGTCCTACTCAGGCATGCCTAAAACCTATACATGGACACAGAGTAATATGATGGAAAGCAAGAATAATGTGGGAACATGCCCTATAGCAAATACTTGATCATCCTTCCTTCCTGTGACTACATGAAGAAAAAACTCAGAGAAAAGAAGATCGTTGTCATAAGACGCTATAAAGTCTCTCATCCCATCTAAGTTTAGGTAGTACACAAACTAGGAACACAATTGCCTTAGGCTAACCCAGTGGTCAAATGGAGAGAGATACTCCCTGGAGGCAATTCAGGTAACAAGAGATCTGAACTAATCTCCAGAAATGCTTCTGTTTCTACTGTCTGTACAGGAAGATTAGAACAATTACACGTCTAATGAGGGTACTTCAGTTAGCTGCCTGCATTTAGATAGGAGGAATGAGGGCTTAGTAACTTTTTGGATTTCTCCTCATCAAGTTTCCACTCCTAGAGCTACCTTCTAAATATTGAAACAGCAAAAGAAGTTTGCTGAACAAAGAGGAGACTGTGCCTCCAAGACAAAGGTGAGTTTTTAGATGCTCGATGTTTGGAGATGTAGGGAGAGATGCATCTGTTGTATGAGATGTCTCCAACAGAAAGAGGTGAATTGTGCCCCAGTATCACTGACCTTTATTGGCTTGACCTACACAGACTGAAAAAGAAGCATAAAGTGACCACTTCCAACTTAGACATCTGCACTGGAAACATCTAACTCAAACAGAGGACTTCCAACCTGACTGTCGTTCTTTCAGGGTCTCCTAAAGAAGGAAGAAAGGACAAGATATACCAGCCACAGCAAGTAGTTCATCTGGAGGATTTTGCAAGGGAAAATTATTAAAAGATTTACCGGCGACCTTCCCCCTCAAACCCTTGCACAGTTACCTAAAAGATTTACCGGCGACCTTCCCCCTAAACCCTTGCACAGTTACCGGATTGAGAGAGAGAGAGAGAGACTTCCATAGAGCAAGATTTAGGAAACGAGTTCCTCCCCTGGGAAGAGGTCTTAATGAAACCTTCCCAACCTACCCTACTACCTGCTTGCAGGAAGGAACAGAACTCCTGCCTAGAGTTCTGTTTACCACTCACATGTTTACCACTGATTAGAAAATCATCTCAGAAACTACCCACCCATGAATTCAAATCCTCCTTTAGATGTGGTGAAAATTTGGAATTTATCCAGATAGTTTATCTTACCTTGGCAGGAAGGCTCATTTAGAGAGACACTAAAAACTTAACAGCTGAGAAACTGTCATCCCTTCCATTATCTTCCCGTAGGCTCAGCCAGCAAGCTGAATCTCAAGAAATTAGAAGTGTATACCCTGAGCAGATTAAATATGCCTTGGGCTATAAGAGCAACCAGACTGATCCAGGCCTGTGTGCAATGCCATATATCTATCATGATTCTATCATGATTTTTCTAATTTACACTTTCTTTCTGTTTATACCAGTCACTTGTCATCTTCCTCCTCTGAGAAGGTAAGGATCTGGGTTCACAACTGTAACCCCCTCTGATTTCAGATGGGCCCAAGCATTGTCATGTGGTCATGACATGCAAAACTACTGAAACATCTGCTACTCAAACTGCATTTGCACTTTGCTTTTTTCTTTTTTTCATGTTTGTACCCCATCTCTCTCGCAACCTTGGTAAAAAGGGACTTCAATGGTAAAGAGAAAAGACCTCCATCAAAGATATCTGCGTCAAAAAAGAAAGATACCTTCATCAAAAGCACTGCACTGGCCTAACTTAATTGTTAGTGGGAACCTGTTGAGCACCAAAAAGCCTGAGTCCTTCCTCGGTGCAAAAAAAGATGTTAAGAGTTCATTTTAGCTTAGGTCTCCATCCAAAGTTGAAAGCTATGGAAAACCATGACCTCCACCAACAGCAAGTACTTCATCTGCTTGTTGTCTTTACCTGAAAAATCTTCTTGGCATGATAGTCATCGACTTCAATGTTCACTTCTTTCAGGAAGTTCTTGAGCTCCTTCAAGCTCATCTTGTTGTCTTTGTTTTTATCAGCTTTCCGCAGGCAACTATGAATCCAGCTGCAGGATGATGTAAGGAAATCTTTCCAGGCCAGTGCCTAGTCTAAATACCTCACGCTTAACCCACAGGGGGGAAAATCCCTTCTGAAGACTCTGAACCACCTCCCCAGCTGCTGTAAATCAGCATGCTACCACTGAATATCTTGCATCATCTTGCCTTCTGCTTTGAAAGGGCAAAATGGTGGTTTGGCAGCAGCAACATGCTCTGTAATATGAGCAATCCCAACCTTGGAGAAGCTTTTCACCATCTGGCCAAAGCTAGATCAACTCTGTTTACCCTGTAGGAGTTTTTGGCCGCAGCCAAATCACAAAGCAGTCTTATTTTTCTTTTATGACAGAAAGTACATTTTGTTCCAAACTGTTAAAAGGGGATAGATGAGGGATGAAAAGAGCTCCCAGGAAGGTAAAACAGATTGTTATGGATTTGGTCAATATTGAGTATAACAAGTTAAACACCGAACAAGGATTCTCCAAAAGAAGCATTCACATTAATTTTTGGACTCACCTTCGACTTCCGTATTTTTTATGGATTTCTACCTATATTTCTTAAGAATTTTTTTTATAAGCATAATCAAACCAAACTTTGCGGGGTCTTGGCTTACCCTTGTAAAATACATAGATCTATTACTGTATTGTACTGTGACAATAATTTCTAAGAGCTCAGTTTATAATATACTCAAGCTATTACGGATCTGGATCAATTGCTGTAACAAATGAGCTTTTTTGTGTGATGTCAGTCAAACCGAACTGGGTTTCTCATGTTGGTTTTTTGGGAAAATAATGTCAGGTAATTCAGATATGTTGGAATTTTAACGAACATAAAAGTCTCTTTTTGCAGCAAGGAACTACCTTTCTTTAATTTGCTTTAACTGTCAAATGAGGAAGGTCTTCCAGAAAAGCCTCCTATTTTTAATACAGAAAAATCATCCAAGTAACAACTAGATCTCCATAGATGTAACCTTCTATGTCTTGCATAGGAGACATTGCTTCAAACTCATTCTAAAAAAGACATTTAAAAAAATGCCCAATCTGAATGTTGATCAGAATAAAACTCAGAGCTTGCAAATACCAGCTGATGGATATAGTACCATAACTAGGCACTTCAAAATTCCCCCAGAAGAAACACTAACCGACAACCTTAGTAGTTGCAGACGCAACCTTCAAACCAAATATTTATGTCTGTGAACTTAGAAATAAGAGTAAACTGTATGCAAATGCTGTTTTTCTCTCCTTTAAAGTTGAATTTTCTGTCTTCAAAAATCTTGGCAGGTGTCAAGCAATGACTTCCTGTGGCATGCCTCTGAACCTGGTAAATATTAGTATTCCTCTTTTGTAGACATAGAAATCAAAATAAAGAGAGGTTACATTTCCCCCAGCTCCCAGGGACACCCCCACCAAGTATGCCAATGTTTGGTTGGTGGGGGGCCTAACACGTTTAAGAGCAAGCCCCACAAACAACTGGCCCGGCCTAGCAGGTGGTCACTGCCTGCAGATGGGTGGAAAAACACAGCCTAAACCTCCTAAATTAGTTTTGCTATCAACAAACTTACACTATGGAACTGGATCCATAATTTGTGCCTCTTGCTCTGAACCAGGGTCTGGCTTGGACTGGTTCTTCCTAGAAGCCCAAGTTCAAGTTATGAAGAACTTTCATTATCTGGAAGAAAAGGTCCGCAGCCCAACCACACAGTATCCTGTGCAGTGAAATATACCCCTGCTTTGCTCCAGAGGTACGTCATGCTCCGGACACGTCCAGTTACTCTATTAAAGTGAAATCCCATCATTGCCATGGTGAACCTGGGATTCTGCCTCCTCAAAAGTCCTGCAAGCACACGAGAAAGATGCTGTGCATGGAGGCAAGGCAAGAAGTCACAGCACCTCAGCTCTTCCGCACAACCTCCCACAGGGATGCTGTGCCAGGAGCACAATATCATCCGCCCTAGGGCGGAGTACAGTGCATCCAAGAGCTACACTTCCCTGAGCGTCCTGAGCATTGGTCAGCACAATGCTGACCAATGTGCCATCTGTTAATTCCCTACCCCTCTGCACCTCCTCTTCCCTGCACTGCCAGGCCTTAAGGAAATAGGCCTAAGTAATGTTCAACTCCAGTGAGCCAAGAGGAAACCCAACCTGCCTTGGCCAGAGGTGAGCTGTAGGGCTGACTAACACTAACTGTGTGCAGAAACCACTTCTTTTGCTCTAACTACTGCACAAAAGCTTTTTTTTTTTTTTTTTTTTTTAAGTCTGAGGTCATTTCCATGGATCATGAGCACCCAGAAGACATGCATGTATCCGAAGGCTAATCTGCTCTGGAAAGCAATATATGGGCCATAAAAGGTATCCACAGAAGAGTATGCCTGGGTCCTGTCTCCAAATGGAGGATGCTTTCCTCTTATATTCATCTCAGAGAGGCTGAGCAACGTAGAAGGGAAATCAGAGAAGGGAGATCTGCTCTGTGAAGAGCAGAGGCTCACAGCTGGCCCTGGCTCTGCGAGGGGGAATGGTGGAGAGAGCAAACCAAGACCGCAGACTGTCCGGACCTCAGCAGACAACAGTGTTCATTCTCAAAATGATCTGAACTCCACATGCATCTGGATCCCCTTGGATTAGCAGAAGCTGTATGAACTAAACAGTTCACCCCAAATTCTTATTGTCTGATAAAACCATCATTTTTTGGCCCTGGTTGTGGGTCTTCCTTTTACTAGAAAGACCCTACTTGGGCCTGAGTAGACTAGAAGGAAGTTGTTCCCATTCCTGTGTACATCTGGAGAGAACCTGCTTCTTCCCTGGACATGCCAGACCGAATTATCACCTTTCTACTAGAAACCAAAAAGGGATGACCAAAAATATTTAGGGGCTATCCCTTGTACTTGCTCACAACAGAAAAGCACACAAAATTTGGGATGAATGATTCCCAACCAGAAGAAAAGCTCATACATAAACCCCAGAATCAACGCAGATGGCTTCACACATGAAAAGTCCCCTGCCTTTTTTGCTCTAAAATCATCCTGGGCACATATACCTGCAGTATTTGCTAAATAACCTATGTCAACTTGTTGCAGGATTGAATTTGATGCTTAGTAAGATCCAACTGTATGTAGAAGAACATCAGAAGTACTTTTTAAATATCAAGGGGTTTTATCCTTTGTAGGAATGTAAGGCTGGAAAGGACATACAAGCCACTAAACCCAGTCCCTTGCTATCACAGTCAATTCCATCATATCACAAGCTGAACAAACTCCACTTGAAACTAGTAAGATTTTTGCTTGCAATACTTCTAATGCTATTTCTAAATAATTTCTACATGTAATTTTTATATAATTCTGTATAATGTCTATCTTATAATGTCTATCTTATAATTTCTATCATTTCTCAATAAAACACTTCAAAAATCTTACTCATTCTTTACTTGCTCTAAGAGCTTCAGAGACTGGAAAAGATACAATGCATGGCAATTGACTACTGTGGGGGGACAAGGCAGGGTCTCAGCACTTCTTCCTCATTTATTTACTCTTTGCTTTCTGTGCTCACAGATGTGGAGAACACTTCTGACGTTTAAGGAAGTTCTGCGCAAGCCCGTGCTGCCAAGCAAACCCAATGAAGAAAAGACTAAATCTGAAATCTCAGGCTGTAATTAAACATCATCAAATTTCAAATGAGAAATTGTGCTGCTCTGTAATTCCAGGTTACGTTAAACAGCCTGAGACAAGCCCAGATTGGAAGCCAGCACTGTACTGTAATTACCCTTCCAGAAATATGGCTTGTCTGCCCACCCCAGTTAGCTTTGATTCTGCTTTCCAAAGAGAGAGAGGCCATTTCCACACTGGAAATTTACAGCCTTCTTCCTTTGCAAATGTAGTTGTTATTTCCCTCCCCTAGCAATCACTTCTTGTGAGGAAGTTTTTCAGCAGTATAGTCAATTTGGCATGCCCCAGGGACCACTTCTGCAGCCCATATTTTGCCCATACACTGTGGCATGGTCGCAGTCTTCACATTTGAAAGGAAAACTGCCAGGGTGTAACATTTGGTGCTGGCAGCTCCAAAGGTTCAAGATCTCAGCTTGTCTAGAGACTGCTCCCTGCCACCGTGGACACTCAACTGCTGACACAGCTGAGGAATGACTTTACAGCCTGGAGTCTGAAAAAGCATCTGAAAAGGCATTCATAATCCAGGAGAGAAACACACCATCCCAGGCACAGCAGAACAGATGGAGCCTGATTCCTTTGAACAAATTGCACTAAGGTTGTGCCAGGTGCTTATTAGACATCAGAGAACCCACAGAAGAGTACGGCCTGATGAAAGCTCAGCTTTTATGTGCTATTTCCTTCACATCTGGTACATTATTACCCAGCAGAGAACCCTCACGGAGAGAAGCCCTGGCTGAGGGCAGGACTCCCCAGTGCCCATGAAGGCTCAAACTCCACCTTTGTGACTTTCCCTCCGCTGAGGAGAATTCACACCACCCAGCTGCTGCGCAGATGCTTTGATGACTAGCAAGGCATTAAGCACACACAGCCTTCCTCACTGTGAGCGCTGTGTGGTTCCCTATCTGACAGAGGAACGCCTATTTTTTTGGAGCTTACAGGAACTTCATATTTTATGACCACTGCTGCTCTGTCAAATGAGGGTGAAATCGGCCAACGCGTTCAGATGTTACTGGCAGGGCCTCAGATACAGAAGAACTGCAGAAAACTAGGCAAAAATTGCACCTATCGATAGTGTCTTTTTTCACACGGAGGTAAGACCCGTGATCACAAAGGACCTTACTGAGTGAAATCCTAGGGAAAATTCCCCGTGAACTCAGCAGAGCTACGATTTCACCCAACTAGCTCACTCTCCTTTTCCGCTCCTTTTCCATTCTAATGTCTCCGTTATTTCTAGAGCATTTGCAGACTCTTTCAGGGCAGCACTTCCTCCCTTGCTGAGGCAAATAAGGAGCAATTTCGCTGAAGTCAATAGAGCTACCCCAGGGTAAAGTTGGCAACTGGAAGAGGAGAATCGGTTCCCTTGCCTTATATTACTGAGAAACATGATAAACAGTACCAGCTTTTCATGCCTTGCCAAGAAGTGCCTGTTCTGCAGTTTATCGCAATGCAAGTGAAATGGACTCCTGAAGAATACAAAAAATAATGATTGTTCTATCGGAAGCTGCCTGAAAGAGGCAATTCTTTGCTTAAGGAGCTATGTGAAGCCTGAATCTACTCTTGCTTGCATCACTGCAAATCAGGAAAAAAAGTGCTGGAAACTAGGAAGTTTGCCCAGGTGTAAAATCAGCATGAGAGAAAAGTCAGTGTGCAGGGCCAATAGGAAAAAAAGGGTTTAGTCTACTATCTCCACCCACAGAAAAACACAAGAGCATCTTTATATGTGATTAACCGTTTTACAAGGCAAAGGATACTGTTGGAGTTTCTGTTTCTGGTTCATAGAGTTGCTGTGGGCTATGATTTTCCCAAGGCCAGTGATCCAATGGTTGGCATCATCCTCTGAATTTGCAATGAGATCCAGGTTTTTGCGTTGGTCTTTGAAAACGATGGAAAAGCAGAGATTCTCCGAGACATTCTTGGCGTACTTTTCCATACCTTCTGTTTTATGGCCTGACCTCACATCCCGAATATCTTCAATGGAGACTGTGGAAAGAAAGCAGAGCCTGCTGTCAGCAGAGGTTCAGTCAGACTTATCTCTACTTGGTGAAGGATATTAAAAGATTACTTTTTCCTTTTCCTGCTACCTCTCCCTCCCATTGCTGGAGGATTTCCTTCCCTTCCCTGCTTCCCTAAACTTGGGTACTAAAGAAAGCGCAAATCAAAAGGAGCAGAAAGAGCAAACAAGAAAACAAAAAACTCTCATTTGTTCTTTTCCCACGTCGTTTATTTAACAGAAGCAGAATATGCACTGGATGACATACTGTGCTATCACATTTAGGAGACATGAATCACTGCAAAGACCTTAGCTCCAGTCCGTAGAGCATCTCTGACTTGATCTCTGCTTGGATCTGCAAGCAGGGAGAGCAAAGTGGTGCCTCTCCAGGAGCATCAGGACATGCAACCTGCTATGTCTATCCACTCCACTCCGTAAATCTGTACCCGAATCTGTCACTGAGACCATGATTTTTTAACTGTCCAACCTGACACGTTGATGTTCAGAGACAGGAGCTACCAATTTCAGAAATCTGTGCTTCTTTCCATGCTTTCAGTTAGCACAACCCAAAAGGGACACCAGAAATCACCGGTTGCTTTTGTTTCACCTATCTGTGCCTTTCTTACCCACCTATAAACACAAAGGGAAAAAACACTGATCTTCCTGTGGAAACTGCTTGGACGCTTTTAGCTCTTTAAGATGCCTCAACAACCAGGATGCCTCAGCATGGGCGTAATAAGAGATGCCATCAGCATGGGCATAATAAGAGATGCCATATAATCAATAAGTGTTTGAAAGGCCCTAGAGCAGTGTGTAACAGGACCTCACAGTATCAATCAAACCACCTTGAGCTAATCTCTTCTCAGACCTGGAAATAAACAATTCTAAAGGCCCACAGAAAAATTGGGGGCTGATTCAAGTGAGAGCAGGGCAGGAGCCACCATGGTGGCCCTTCAGTTTGTGAAAAGTGAGAAGGGAAAATTTACAAGCTTGTATAGTCTTCTCAGTCACACCTATGTAAATTAAGGATGCAAAGACCAAAGCTTCAAAGCAGTTCAGTGTCACCCATGCTCTGTCCTTACCTCTGCCAGGGGTACATTTGATCCCCTTTGCTGTATGGCAGCACAGCACCTTATTCAAAACCATCCCTCCCCATTTGCATCTCTGCCCCTCAGATGGTGGAAATGAGCCTTGACTCCACACCACGAGTCCGCAAAGTGTGTGCATGAAGCAATCCAGACACGTAGCCGTGCATTCACCCCATGGGAAGAACCAGGTTACTAGACAAATATAAGTAACCACGACCTCTCTATGCTGTTCTGAGAGCATTGTGGGTGCCCTCAAACAGCATCGCGTGGAAAGTGACTCTTCCAGCAGCACACACAACCTCTTCTTGTCTTTCATGGAGGTGCTAGGACACTTCCTACACATACAAAGGACTGAGTGGAAAGAGCAGAAGCTGCTTAGTCACATCGGACTGCTGAGAAATACAACACCAAAGCAGGGATGGCACCTCCAGATGTGAAATGGCAAAACTACCTTCATCGGATGTTGGAGCTACTAACTGAGAGCAGGGGAAAGTTAATGTTTTGCAAACCTCTACCTCCACAATTCATCTCAGGGCATGTGTAGAAAAGGCAACACATCAGAGAGGTAACCAAGTATGCCTAAAAATAGATTTAATCACAGAAACTTGAAAAAATGTGGTTTTAACCTCTCCCAACCTCAAACTGTAAATCAGGGTAAAAAATCCTGTGTCAGGGTAAAACTTGTCAGACTAATTTTTTTTGTGCCTATCTTGAAGGAACTTTGATGAAAAGCAGTATCTGAGTGCAAAATATCCCCATTGCTTGGCTGGAGAGGAGAACCTTGCCTTTAAGCATCCATTCCACCTGCTCCTTCATTTAAATTGGTGCAGTTTCACTCTTAAAGTGTTTAATTATTTCAAAGTCAGCACTGCAGAAATACACAGCTAAGCATCCACCCCACATATTTTTAGCATGGTTGCCCTGGGGTCATCCGAAATTAATGGGATGCTCATAAGAGTTTTTAAGTCTCCCTTTTTCCCCACGACATTCACAATATGCTCAGCTGCATAAAATATGATCAGCAAAAAAAAAATAAAAATCGGTCTTGAAAAATCATTGACTGTTCAAAACCAACACCTGACATTTGCCTTGAATTTCCACCATGTGTTGAGGCGGCCAGACATCTTTCATAACACTTTTCTGGTGTGGTTTCCATATATGAACTTGCCAGGAAACAGGAAGGTGCTTCCCAGAGTTGGCAAAGCCCCTCCCTGATGATGAGCAATTATCTTTGTGTGGCCTTTTATTATCATTCAATAAAAGGCCAACAGTGGATCTGCTGGCGAAGAGAGAAGAGGGTTGGGTTGAGCTGGGTTGTTGTAGAGTCATCTGGCCAATTTACTGCACAGTGAAAGCTCATGGTTTTGAGTGCTAAAACTCTCTCTGAGAGAAATGGGTTGCAATTCCTGGGCTGCTGACAGAGAGCCTTGCTGATGTGCTTTCCCACTAAGTAGCACACTGCAAAAATCAAAGAGATTGTGCCTTAGTTTCAAAGCAACAGATTTACTACCCTTATTGTAAAGGATGTTGTCATGTTTGGAGGCATTCATCTCAGTCAAAATGTCTAAAATTTAGCTAGGCTCCTTTTATAACCAATGGGAAAACAAAAAAAAAAACCTTTTGGAGCATGACCTTTCTGTCCTATTTAGACAAACTCCTTAGAGTGAGATAAATCACAGCCTTAACTAGAAGGCTAAAGTGGACCATCTACCAGAAAGAAAGCCCAGGGTGAGCCTCTCAGATGTAGATATGTGCAGTGCAGATGGTCCATAAGTAGGTGATGCTTCTCCAAAGCCATTCTCTTTTGATTATGGCTGTCCATGTGGAAGCATCGTCCTGTTGTTCCTAATCACCTGCCAACTGCTCATCACTGCTTCACTCTTGGGAGTTATTTTCCCCTCAGCCTGGCTAGCTAATCTGCTTGTGCAATCAATCCCTAAACTTGGGGTTGGCAAAGACCTTGTGTTTCCTAGACTAGAAAATCTGATGTTAAATGTTGGAAATTTAGAATAGATTCTTTGGAAATCATTATCTAGCGAAGTGAATACGCTGGAAAAAAAAAAGAGAGCTGTGTGGGAGGAAAAAAGGAAAAAAGATTGAAAATCTGTGCCTGGAAAGGCTGCCTTGTTCTTTGTGGAGTATACAGCTGAGAGGAAGATGATGGGGGGCACAGGGCTCCTCCATGCAGAAAAAGTGCAAGAAAAGTTGAGGAACAGGATCAGTATCTAACATAGCAATGCAAGAGACAAGGAGAGACACTCAGTGCAGGAACTGTTGAAAAAAACAAGGTAAGGGAGCACACTTTTTAAAGCTTTCCATAGCCTGGTCATGTGTACTGTTTTCATCTGTCAATGAAAGAGCTGAAGCCAAAGGAGCTGGCCTAAGCCATCTGCAAATGTTATCTCTTTCCTACCCTTGGAAAATCTGAGCATGAATCCCAGCATGAATACATTATCAGTTGCTCCAGGACAGTGAGTGTACTGTACTAGCAGTCCTGCGATGCCGTCTCAAACCAACTGTGTGCTCAGCTGAGCTATCTGCAAGGAGAAATCAGAAACAACTGAGGGACAGAGATGTATTTTAAAGCAGAGGAACACTTACAGCAAACACCCATCTGTCATGTATCACTGCAACCTCCCTGCCCTTCCCCATCATGCCACAGCAGGGAGGCAACCAAGAGCTGAAGAGAAGCTGGAAAGTTTGCATCTGCTTCTCCTGAATGTTTATGTCTGCTGAAGAGGTGGTTTGTGTAAAGCCCAAACCCCAAGCAGACACAAGGAGGCTTGTGCTCTTCTGGGCCTCCAGACATCAGGTCAAACAGGTCACATCTAAGTCAGCCGTCCCAGCTGCTGTGGATGCAGCTCAGCTAGTGCCACAGCTGACAGTGGGGTTTCTCCCCTCTGCGTGTAGGCTCACGGGGACACACAGCAGCATTCCCCAGAGTCAGTGAAATTACTCCTGTCTGAACAAGTCTGAGGGAGATAAGAGATTCTTGCTTTTATTCCTCCTTTCAATTTTCATCATTGGAAGCTGCCCTTCCGTACCTCCCTCATCAATTCTGTGCCCAGCACCCTCCCCCTGTTTCACTGTGGCATTAACAGCCAAATGATGAGTCAGGCCTGCAGGATGCAGGAGACCACCTTTGACAGCCATGACATTTTCCAGCAACCAGTATGTATCGTGTCTGTCTGGACTGAATTTCTGCTCCTGTGGCTTTCTGGGTGTTCAGTGTTACACTTGCAAGCTTGTCTCCTCTGCAGAAGGTCAAGGAGCATCGCTCTTTCCAAGGAAAAAGAAATCTGTAATTCACACTGACGTGAATCTAATCAGACTTAAGAGTCTACAAGTGCCTAAGTCCAACACTGTGAGCCACAAAACCCTGCTGAGCAGGTGCAGAGCCTCACCTGTGCCTCTTCCTGACCTGAAAGCTCCCTCAGTCACCTGAAGTTGTGTCCACCCGTGGAACGGCCCCCACACGAAAGGCTACCTGCCTTGCTCCTGGCAGAACCTAGGCTGACCTGATCATCTCCACGAGGCACACTCGCACTCACCTCCGTGTGCCGATTTCAGCCCTACACATCTGTGCAGAAGGGATGGCCATTCATGTAGGAATCATTCCTGGAGGAAGCAGTAAAAAGAGGGGCACAAGTTCAATCCCCACATCATTCTGAAAGCTGTAACCACAGAGCTGCCAGGCTTTGGGAGCGTGTCAGAGCTACATATATTCACAAGCCTTTCAGCAAAAATACAAGCGCTGAAGAGTCAGAAGGACAAGCCTGTTGAGGTGCCTAATGATTGTAGCACTTGTCCGAGAGATGAGCCCTGGCCTCCAGCCCTCTGCTCCAGGGACGATGTTCATCCCTTCTCTAGCCATTGCTCCTATGGTAAAGTGCTTAGACTGT